ATATTATCTATCGACTGTAGACAAATGTAGTGCATGAAAATCATAATGGGAGTGAGCAAGATGCACATAATCCGCAGATGAGATTTTGTTAGGATATGGAAGATTAATCTGTCATGATGTTCATAACTCACGAACAAGCAGATTGTGGAGTTAACTAATAGTGGTCGCACAACAAAGTTGTCGATGAATTTCCTTTTCTCTGATCTACTTTGGCTTTCTAATAGTCGCTGCTCTATCGTCATCACATCAGATAAGTAACGTATAGTTCACTCAAACTATGTTGGATAGAGCTAGCACTGTTTCGTTTTGACTTGTTGCTAAGTAGTCCAAAATAAGCTGCAAATAGTTATTCGAAAAAACACCATTTGGTCCATTCTAAATATCAATCTAATCAAACAGTGAATTTTTTAAAACTAATGAAGGAGTCTTATCGCTTTATTTTGATGCGCAGGACAGACAAAAAAATGTGTTCGCATTCATACGCGACTATTTACAAGAGATTCAGAAAATCTTCTTAATTCATGATGAAATTGTAAATAGGCCTCACGATAGGTTTTAGAATTTGTCTTGTATTTCGAACATTTATATGAGAGTATAGTTAGAATCATTCTTAATTCGACGATTAACACGACTTTGATATAGTGGTACAGCAAAAACGTCACCAAAGCTGTTATCACATATTGCTCGTTCTTACATGAAGTCTATCAATCTTACAACCACAGCTAAACTAAAACATTTTACATAACGGCGTGATGGTATTTCGTAACAGAAGCAGAGAGTGTGTCGATGATTTTATAGTGAGAAATTAGCACTGAGAAGCAAAGGGCGATTTCACAACATCCCAGCTTTAGTCTTACATCTCGAAACCATTTCTACTTTCATCCCGCTCATGCAGGGGATTTCCTGACTTGTCGATCTTTGCCAAGTTCGACGTCTACAACCAATCTCAAACCGTACTTCGAGCTGTGTACCTCTGTGAAACAGACTGTAGCGTTTCGTTCAACTAAGTTTCAGTGACACAACTCTACCCATTACAGTTCCACATCATGCCAATGCTTATGAAAGCCAAAAGTGGTTATTCACTAAAAATGAAACAAATCGGAGTTTTAAGACTCCTTCTTATTTCAACTAGTGATGGCATAACCTGAAGGGCACTGAGAGACAGAAAAGGCTAACTTTACTGATACGTTATCCGATCATTTAGTTTTATAATTGAATGTAAATGAGCTTTCTCATATGATGACACGAGGAAAACGATAAAACACTCACAAACGCATCAGACACCTCTGTAGCATGCTCATTTCTACATATTTTCAGCTAATAGAAAGATTCTTTCATTTATAGTGTCCAACAACACCTTCGTTACTGCACTTACTTATGCAACAGGCGCTTATCCACAATCAGTGGCAGTCGTCGATGTCAATAATGACAACAAACCCGATATAGTCACCGCTAACTATTATGGACAGAATGTCAGTGTTCTTCTTAATACAGGTAATGGGACATTTTCTGCTCAAACTACTTATGCAACTGGCACTAATCCATCCTCAGTGGCAGTCGTCGATGTCAATAATGATAACAAATCCGATATAGTCACCGCTAACTTTGGCGCAAATACTGTCAGCGTTCTTCTTAATACTGGCAATGGAACCTTTTCTGCTCAAACTACTTATGCAACTGGCAGCACTCCATCCGCAGTGGCAGTCGTGGATGTCAATAATGACAACAAATCCGATATAGTCACTGCTAACTCTGGTACAAGTACTATCAGTGTTCTTTTTAATACAGGTACTGGGACCTTTTCTGCTCCAACTACTTATGCAACTGGCAGTGGTCCACTATCAGTGGCCGTCGTCGATGTCAATAATGACAACAGACCCGATATAGTCACCGCTAACAACGGTGAAAGTACTGTCAGTGTTCTTTTTAATACTGGCAATGGGACCTTTTCTTCTCAAACTAGTTATGCAACTGGCAGTTATTCACGATCAGTGGCAGTCGTTGATGTCAATAATGACACCAAACCCGATATAGTCACCGCTAACTATGGTGAAAACAATGTTAGTGTTCTTCTTAATACTGGCAATGGAACCTTTTCTTCTCGAACTACTTATGCAACTGGCAGTGGCCCATACTCAGTGGTAGTGGTCGATGTCAATAATGACAAGAGACCCGATATAGTCAACGGTAACGGAGGTGGAAGTACTGTCAGTGTTCTTCTTAATACTGGCGATGGGACCTTTTCTGCTCAAATTACTTATGCAACTGGCACCAATCCACGATCAGTGGCAGTGGCCGATGTCAATAATGACAACAAACCCGATATAGTCACGGCTAACTATGGTGCAAACAATGTCGGCGTTAGCGTACAATGCTAAGTGGAGATGAGTTATTCTCGGGAATATTTTCAGAAACACTTTCGAATAGATGACACTATTGGCTGATGATTCGTACTATATGCTGTGAGAAAAAGTTTTACCAAGAAAAATCTGTTTTTGCTTTTAAAGAAATAAATGATGTTGAACATATGTCGGGCGACCGTGGATATTTTATAGATTGAGATTGCTTTAAGTAAAGTTTTGACCCTTTTCATGCGTCGAAATCATCGAGGGTGAGTCAATATGAAACAGATTATTCTGCTAATTTCAACTCTTGCCTTTGAGCAATCGATCTTCAATACCAAATAATATATATATTTATATATAAAGACATATATATAATTAATGGATTTCTAATGAAAAATGAATGCAGAATTTGCTTCACGGGCGCGTTTCGTGTTTTTATTGTTCGAAATAGAAAACACTCATCAGGGTCTGCATTTACAAAAAAAGAATAAAAAATAAAGAAAAGTTTGAAATAAACAGAAATAACAGAAATAACAAGGGGCAATCTAGATGTGTAAGAATATGTCTGTTCATGAATCAGGAGTTTGTACTTGACATTGTTGTTGATTGTTAGAATTTCGTGTGCCTAAGATTGGGCGTAATATCATTGATTGGCGATTCAGAAAAGTATTTGAGTCAAAGATTATGGAATTTTTTAGGAAAGTTTCTTATATTGGAACAATAAGTAAAATGAATAAACATTTTATGACCATAATCAATTGGTTCTTTAACTTGTAATGGGCTATTAATAATTTTTTGACGAATATTATGGTAATGGATAATATTCATCTGTAGTTTAATATCGTATTCATAGAAGACATGGTTAAGTTGTTGATCGATAAGTTGACTTGGATATTGTTTGAGAAGTAATGCCATTTTCATTTGATCTCGTTCTTTTTTATATTCTTTAAATGTTGAACAATACCTTATTGCTCTTAGTAACATAGCAAAAGGTATATTTTTCTTCATATGTAAAGGATGAATGCTATTGAATGGCAAATAATATGGCTGATAAGATGGTTTATGATAAACAAAAAGTAAATATCGAACCATCTTGATTTTCTATATGCAAGTCTAAGAAATCAGCTTTTGAGTTAATATTGGCTGATAATTTTACATTGGAATCTAATGCATTCCATCGATCAATCTGTTTGAGAAAACGTTGTTTAGGCCAATCAATAGCAATAAAAATATCATCAATAAATCGAACGTATAAGCCAAAACTGTTATTAATTTGTTTTACTATATTTTGTTCGAAGAAAAACATATAACAATTGGCAATGATTAAAGTTAATGGACAACCCATTGCTCCACCTTTGATTTAATGATAATATTGATTATTGTACTTAAAGTAACTATTTGTCATAACAAATCGAGCTAATCGAATGATAACTTCAGTTTTTAAACCATCGATTTGTTTAATGTTCAAATAATCTAACATTTTCCTGAGAGATAAAGCACCACTGACCTGAGGAATCATTGTATAAAGATCGGTTACATCCATTGTACATAGAAGAGTTTCTTGTTCGATATTATTGGATGACCATTGCTCAATTTTTTGAAGTAACTCAAAGCCAGACGTTACTGTTGTTCCCTCGACTGAAAGAAGGCTCATGTCGAAAAAAGTGGTCAGAAAAACTCTGCCATGTTCGGTCCCAAGTCCGGATGAGAAAGGAGGAGGATTAGGCGTCGGGCTAGCAATTCGATCCTGGAAAAAACACAAACTGCTAACGAAACAACAAGTGAAACTCAACAAAACAAATCGAAACGGCATAGGGAAACCAACTCATCTTACATGACGGTACTGAATGAGAGCCGTAAGGAAATCCAGTCCCTGACACAGAGTAGGATCCTGAATGCCAAAACTATTACAAACATCGGAAGTTGGAATGTACAAACGCTCTATCAATGCGGCAAATTAGCTCAATAGCTCAAAGAATTTGACACATATAAAATGGACATAGTGGGCGTGAGCGAGATGAGATGGACAGGAAATAGCAAGATATCAAGCGATGGTAAAACAATCTTATACTCGGGACATGACGATCAACATATACGTGGTGTTGACATCGTACTCAACAAACAAACAACACACGCACTAATTCGATGGAAACCGGTGAGCGAACGAATCATCGCGGCGAGATTTCAGTCGAAACATACGAAAACAACTATTGTTCAAGTATAAGCTCCGACAGAAGATGCAGATGGGTAGACAAAGACAATTTTTACGACCAATTACAAGACACAATGGATAGCATTCCCAACCACGACGTTAAACTACTGATCGGCGACATGAATGCGCAAATTAACAACAGCAGACACGGTATGGAACACGTAATTGGTCCTCATGCAACGGCACGCAAAACAAATGGCAATGGAGAACGACTTATCCTGTTTTGCAGCATGAACAATTTATGTATTGGAAATACATACTTTGCACACAAAAACATCCACAAGAAAACATGGCGTTCGACAATACAAGATGTACGGGCATATAGAGGAGCTGATGTGGGACCAGATCATCACCTTGTGAGGGCCTCCCTAAAACTTCGATTCAAAAGAAATCAGCAAAGACAAACAGTGAAATCATATGCGATTGAAAAACTGAAAGATTCACATACTCTCATACAATACCAGATAACGATCAAAAACAGATTCGAACAGCTACAATACATCACTGACGTTGACAAACATTGGACGAAATTCAAACACGCAGTAGCTGAAAGTGCAGAAAAGACAATTGGCCGAAGAAGAGGAACGCAGAAAGAACGATGGATACGCGACAACACATGGCAACTGATCGACGAACGAAAGATGGCAAAAATCCAGCGCGATCAGGCAAAAACAACAGACGAACAACAAATAGTCACAGCCAAGTACAAACAATTAGACCGTAAAGTCAAACGAAGCTGTAGAGCCGATAAAAAGAAATGGATAGAACGAAAAGAGATGAAGCACAAGAAGTGGCAAATAAAAACGACACTAAAACTCTATATCGAATCGTTAGAGAACTCACAGGATCACGAAGCAATTGTAACGTCCCAATCAAAGGCAAAAATGGCAAAATTTTACTAACAAAAGAAGAACAAGACGCACGTTGGATCCAACATTTCCAAGAATCTATAAATCAACCAAATCCAACTACAATCTTTGACTTTGCGAACTTTCTCAACGCCGATAACATAGAAGCAAACCTTGGTACAATCACCGAAGCAGAAACCAGGAAAGCGATAGCGATGCTAAAGAACAACAAGGCTCCCGGAGTCGACTAAATCACAGCGGAGCTGGTGAAATATGGCGGAACCCGAATGGAAACAAGGAATAATCGTTAAGATACCAAAGAAGGGCAACATCGCTGATTGCAACAACTGGAGAGGCATCACGCTTCTTTCAATTCCTGGCAAAATCTTCACACTTCGCAATATCATCGAACAAAGTGCTGAATTCCAACGACCACTACAAATCAATTTCATCGATTTCAAAAAGGCGTTTGACAGTGTACATAGAGAATCACTGTGGAAAATTGTTCGAGCATACGATATTCCTCAACGCTTCCTCGACACCTTGCGCAATATTTATTTGGACTCTAGCTGCTGTGTAAAAATAGATACTGGCAATACAGAATTCTTCCACATTGTTACAGGTGTACGTCAAGACTGCATTATATCACCGTTTCTATTTCTTTTAGTCATTGACTTTGTCATGCGTGAAACAATGAATGGCTCAGACTTTGGTATTCAATGGAACAACATGTCTCGTTTTACAGACCTAGACTTTGCAGACGATATTGTGCTATTGGCAAACACAGAAGAAAATTTACAAAAGATGACAACTGCGTTAGAAACTACAGCCAGCAACGTTGGACTAAGAATTAATAGCGAGAAAACCAACACCTTTCGTAGAGTTTTGTCGCATATTCTTATTGTTCAGCGATAGTTTATTACATCAAATGTTCGAAATAATGACCCTGATTATCCACACATAGTTGCATTCTCTCAATCCACTTATCAAATGTTTTTCTATACTCTTCTGCACTCAACGAGTACATAAAGTCAGCCACAGCATGTTGCAATGATTGTGGATAGCTTTGATCACTTAAGTTTCGTTTGATCAGGTCAAATAGCCAGAAGCCGCAAGGTGATAAGTCTGGAGAATTTGGTGGATGAGGTATTGTTTCAATACCTTCCGACTGAAGATAATCATACACACATTTGTGAACATGCGGCTTCCCGTTATCGTGATGGAGAATGATATGATTTGTACCATATGAAGGTCGTTGATGCTTGATTTCGTCTATAAGTGGCTGCAAGCAGTTGTCAATGTAATATCGATGATCGATCCACGACTCGTCGCCCGTTACTACATTGCATAAACGCAATGTTCCATTCCTGAATCGTGCTAAGTTCTCTTTGCATATTCGTACACGTTCGTTTTGTTGGAACTCATTTAATTTTTTCGGTATGTAACGAGCTGTCACTTTGGTCAATTCAAGATGATCGGTAATAATCCGCTGCGTCGTACCGTAGTTTAAACCAACTTCTTCTTGTATTTCTTCAATTGTGACTCTTGGATGATCATCAATGATCAGACGGACTTCTTCAATGTTTTCAGACGTTGTTTCAGTAAAAGGTCTGCCGGATCGTGCTTCGTCTTCGAGATCATCTTCGCCTTCACGGAATCGTTTACACCATCTCTGAACAGTTCTGAGACAAGGAACCTGATCACCGTGAACAGCATATAACTCTTCATAAATCGCAAGTGGTTGAATATTAAGTGCGGTGCGCATTTTGATGTAAAACCGAATGTTTCCCTTACTCATTAGAAACAGATAACGTGTACAAGTTGAAGTCGACTTTTGTGTTCCTCCGAAATGTCTGAATAACCTAGTATATCTTTACGAGACTAATAAGATATGATAGACGTGTAAACGGTAGAACAGACGAGAGAAAAAAAGAAACAAAGGACGAGCGAAACTTGAATAGAAATGAATGAAAATATCACATAATACCAAAGTCAAGTTTAGCACCAGGATACTTCTGCTCGAAATTTCGTTTATATGACACTTAGTTGAATACGATGAAATAGCATAGAAAAATGCAGCTTCATTTTCTCTATCTCTCTGCGAAAAGAAAATTTTTTTTGACCATTCAATAAGAAAATAAGGTGGTGACGACATTACTTTTGGATACACCTAAGTATCTAAATATAAACAACAAGACAACATCAATCTGAAAATCTCTATTCCGAGCAATTATAAATTCTTTAACCTCACCACCATCGTTCATCTAATATTCACTCACAGCACCACTACTTGCATAAAAAACGGACAATGATATTCCATACAAAAAAAAACAATACAATCGTGCATACCACTCATAAGCGAATTACAAGAGAATCGAAACAAAAAATATGTACTCATAGATGTCCCTATCCATACATAAGGCAAATTCATCATTCGCACCACTCGCGGAGTAGAAATGAACGAAGAAATGCAAACAAAACACTCCCTTCATAGTTTCTCCTAAAAACAGCCGATTCACTTCAACAAACATCACCAACCTTCCATAAGCAAGTCAACATCAGATATTTACTTCACCATAAATTTCACCACCATCCACCCACAAGAAATAATACAATAACCATTTCTGTATCGATTTTATCATTTTTCATTCATTTTTCAAGTACATTCAAAATCCTGTTTTCTTTGAAATGTTCAATTTATTCAAAATAATTGTTCACTACACACATGAAAAACGATTTTTACCAACCAAACAAGATCTGCATGAAAAATATACAGATATGTTTCAAAATACACCAGCAATGAATGTTCGACTCATTGTCGGTAGTCGATAATCGATCGGTGTGAAGTTAGCACCATTTAACGCTAGCACCATTTAAGACTCACACCGATTGGCTACGCAACACACCAATCAAACCACACCGATACCAAAAACACCATAATGGTGGTCATAGATTGGACTATGGATTCCCTAGCAACCCAACAAACTTCCTTCACGAATCAAACCTAGCACCATACAGCCTTCTCACTCTAACCAGATACTATCTGATTTCCAGTTCCTAAAATAACGATCGGATCTATTCAAGACCACAATAACAATATGGATCATATGCAGTAGTTCCGAAGGACCGGAAACCGTTCTGTAGAGCGGCGTGCTCTCTTGCATCACGTGGGTCCGTTGCGGGTTGGTCCACGTGATGAAGGACAGCACGGCACTCTACAGAACGTTTTCCGGTCCTTCGGAACAGCTGCGTTTGGTTCAGAATTCGATTCTGCGTCGATTGGAACAGATTCAAACCACCGGAAAACGTTTCGTGAAAAAAAAATGGCCGATATTGGGTCCATTGTCGGTTGGTCTACGTGATGAAAGAGAGCACGCCGCTCTCCAGAACGTTTTCCGGTCCCTCGGAACAGCTGCATTTGAATCGGAATCCGATTGTTCGTTGAGGGGAAATTTCCGGAGCGCCGGAAAAAGTTTGCCTGGTGGAAGTTAGGCCAGTATTGACTGCATTGGGTGGAGGTGTGGGTAATGAGAGGTGATGGTGTCTTTTTAGATAAACAGCTGATGGGATATTCGGATTGGGCCGAGCATTCTTGTTGGAAAACGTTGTGTTTATGGTTTGGTACGATGTTTGTAGGATAGGGGAGTTGAATTTTGATGATTGATTGAGATAGTTTTTTGGTAACTAAGGGCTGAGAGATGGTAAAATATGGATATGGGAGGTATTTTGTGGATGTTTTGTGATTGGCTGATAGTTAAATGGTGCTAACTTCACACCGATTCGAAATCGCCGATCGGCACAGCATGATTTAATACGAAAAAGGCCACAAAAGCGATTACTACAAAACAGACCTTCCAAAACTAATTCTCTCAACATTCGATCATAAAACAAAACAAAAACATTTTTCTTCCACCATATGGAACATTTTTGTTTCATTCACTAGAACAGCGAAAACGACAACAATTAAACGTTACAATGAGTACAACCCAACCAGAAGTGTATCCAAATAATAAAAAACCTAATTCCAACTTCTATTACAAAATGTACGAATAGGAAAATCATCTATCCATCTTCTTCAAACAACGACTAATTTAATTTCACGATATAAAATATCGGTACAAATAGTGTCACAACAAAACCCACATTTAAACGAAAAAACAACAAAAAGACTTTCGCTTCTTATTAGTCCAATATAAGTTCTCTTTTTTTCATTTGTCATTCATATCATTCAAACTTATATTGCACTCGTATAATTACGATCTCATTTCCTAATTCAAATCCACAACTTTTCCATTTTCTACGATAATACTCACCGGTTTCGTTTCTTCTAGGTTCCTAATAATTATACTATCTAATTAAATAAAATTTTCCTTCAAGGACGACCACAACCACAAACAGACACCTCGTTCTAACAGGATCTCAAAACTAAATTCCTTTACCAATTGACCTCACTATTTCAGCACTTCTATCCACACAAAACGAGTATAAACTTCCGCATATTATAAAATCATTGACCTCTCCGTCTATTTTTCTTTCGACGCCAAAATAATTAAAATCTTTATGGTACAACAAACAAGAGTACAAAACCTCCACCATGCGCCGCAAATTCATATATTCAACAGCGAATTTCCACACGAAACATCGTAGATCAATATCTTTGTTTTGGATTCTTTTGAATTTAGAATAGACAAGTCATTCGTAAATCGTCTTAGCAGACGTGAAACTAGTCATGCCAGCTGATCTCACACACTCCCACCCCCACCCTCAATATGTTCTTTGTCCTTCCCCTCTCTTCTCTTTATTCACGACTAAAGATTTCTAATTATATGTTACTGAAATATATAATTTCCTTGGCACAGCTCCACGAGACGTGGCACTTCTCAATAAGGATAATATCACTGCACTTAACGACACGAATGTGTTTGTCCGTCAACTATCAACATCGCCTTTAATGATCGATATTGTGACGATATTTATTTTTTAATAAAAGTACAGTCGTTTCTTTGCATATTTTTCAACGTGGTTTTTCACACTTCACCCCCTTTTCATTAGAAAAGTAAATCAAATTTTTGGATTCGATGATTGGCAGTATCACTAACATAAAGATTTCCTTCAATATCAAATGTTAAACCATGGGGATAATCCAATATGCTTGAATATTCCCATTTATTCCCACCGACAATAAGTTCACCTTCTTTTGCTCCTTCATTCCAATGCATTACTCGACCATTGTGACGATCCATCACATAGATTTCACCAGATTCACCAACAAATAATCCTTCAGGACCATACAATTGATTCAGTTCCCATCCTCCAACATTTTCACCAGCAACAATAACTCCTTCTTTGGCATTTTTCTTCCATTTCATTACACGATGATTGTAACAATCTGTAACATAAACTGTTTGTTCATCATCAACAAAGATAAAAGTAGGACGATACAATTGATTAAGCTCATTTCCCCAACCATTTCCACCAGCAACTAATTTTCCTTCTGTTCCTTTCTCTTCTCCAATTCTCCATCTTCTTACTTCACCTTTGTCCCAAATAGAAACATAAAGAAATCCATATTTATCCAATGCTAAACCATCACAGTGAATATTATTAATGATAATTTCTTGTCGATTTTCATTCATGAACCATCGAACTACTCGTCTGTTTTCATAATCAGCAATGATCAATGAATTATTTTCTTCATCCCAAACAATACCTGTTGGACTATTCAATTGATCCAATCTTGTTCCATTTCCATTCCCACCTGCAACAATTTCTCCGTAAACTTCATTTAATTTCCATTTCATAACACGATGATTCAAACGATCAGTAATATAAATATTTTTATCTTTATCCACAACTATTGCATGGGGATCTCTGAGTTGGTATAATTCGTTACCCTCTTCATATCCTCCAGCAACAGTTATCGCATTTTGTTTCCATCTGTTCCATTTCATTTCTAAAAACAAAGTCGAGTCATTCTTCCAACATTTTCAATGGCACTTCGTGGAATTATGAAACTCACTTCTTGTTGTCACTTCCACTGCCGTGGTAGTTGTCATCGTTGTTGTATCTATTAGTATTTATCAAGATAAATCATTTCGATTATACATTCAGTACTTACTATTTGATTGAGGTGGACAGATGTCTTCACTCATCAAAGAGAGTGGATAACAAATAGGATGATTATTACATCGAGAATGGTGAACACAGATATGATCTGGAACAGAACATTCTTGTAATGATCCACATGGTATAAGCTGAGAACAGGATTTCCAAAGAAAAGCACAAACACCAACATTATTGGCACCTACCATTGGAAAACAACCACACGCATTATTACTTGAACATCGACTGAATGGTATTGCACTGTTACATATTTCAGAGTCTGCTGAAACTATTTACAGATACAACTATTACGTTACAGATGAACATGTAAGATGAAATAGAAAACAGACCTATGGTGCTAAAATGAGATTTAAATAAATTAGGAAAATGTTAAGAAAAGAGACGAAAGTTTTCATACCTTAAAAGGAGCAGAAAGAAACAATGTATTCTTGTTTTTGTTTTCATAGTAGATTGAATTGAAATAAAAATATCGTTTCTTCTCATGAAGTTGTCTTTTTTATTCTTTGGAATATATACCGATCATTTGCAGTGATATTAAAAATAGGAAAACAGAGACATGTAATCCTTAGATAATTGGAGTGGTGATATTATTTTTAAGTAACGTCAATATACTAGTAACACTCGTCGAAAGTCACTCGCTTTACCCTCGACTGAAGAGTAAAGAAATATATTTACGCTAATTTTAACTGAAAAACCTATATGTTTCGAAGACAGGTTTTTAGATCAAAACGTTGTTAGAACCAATCGATGAATTCTTTTCATTCCTAATTCGTATTCTTCCAAAACCTTTGAAACCTCACGAGTCTTGATTCAAGAATCTTATTTATAAAACCTATGCGAAGTATTAGAGATTAGCGGCTAATCGGTCGGCCACTCACGGTTAGCCGCTAGCATCCATAGTTTCTTTTCTCCTGTACTTAATATAGGTCGATCTCCTTTTGATCTCATTTTCAATCGACTTGGAACACGAACACGCTTTCTCAAACGATGTTTTATGAAGTTTTGAGCATTTTCAAAAAAATCTTTTTTTTGACCTTTGACCTTTTACCCTGACACAAACAAACAATTTTTTTCATATGACCCTCCTTTCAGTCGAGGGAATTCATAATCCTATCGAAAGAGAAACTAACGAGAGAAAATTGTGAAGTTTTCAATCGCTTTTTCAATAAAAAGCTTAAAGAATCGTATTAGTCTTGTAAAGCAAAATGATACGGAGAAGCATGCTTTGTCTTCCCTCCAATATGTTTTGTTAAGTAAAAGTAATTGTAAATTTGCTTATCATTTTGAATTAACAATAATAAATATTTGGGTGAGTGTAAGAGTGTGAATGCAAATAGTCATGCAGACAAACACGCACACTCACACCCTTAAGTTATGTGACACCTCTACTCACTGGCGAAGATTATTTTCGTAATCTTCTCTTCCGATTGACACATGTGAAGAATTCGATTCAGTTTTCCAGCTGTTTTCTGCTAGAAACCGATGTAGTCTCTATGTTTGCATAATCACTTTCCAACATCAACTTATAATAAAAGTCCTGTTCTTTACTTTGTTAAGCAAACGAACGTGTTCTGTCTTGTCACGATTTGCATTATCTTCAATATGAAGCGACATGTCGTGTAAAATAAAGAAAAACAACATGTGTACGAGAATCGAATTTTTACCCAATGAAATTTTCGGCGAATGTTTTCAATATTTAACTCCTGCAGATATATTTCATTCATTCGATCGATTAAATAATCATTTTCATATGCTGATACGAAATATTTCATTACATGTCAACTTTACAAACATTTACAAATCACGATTTGATCAATTTTGCTCTCAGATAATCACAAATCCCGAAATAAAAAAATGAAATAATTTCGTTACAGTTATCAAATAAAGATACATGTGGACAGATCCAAGCATTTCTCTCATTAATTGCACTTAACGAACTTGTCCATTTTCGATCATTAACATTAACTCACTTCGATAAAGATATCGCCAAGGAAATCAAACGAGTTTTACCATCAGCTACAAATCTAACCTATTTTTCTTACATTGGCGATGTCGATACGTTCTTCGGTCTCGAAATTGATAATGTATTTCCACTATCGTAACGATACACAGATTCGATATCGCTTATATCAATAACCAGTCCTGAATTGGATGCTCTATAAATGAAATATTTTGGTTATTCCAATATGCACCAATGTTAAGGTATTTTAAAACTACAAGACTTTTTTCAGATCGATCTTCTGAGGAAATAAAGTATCTTGATGATGTATTTGCTGTTCATCTGAAACCCTCCATTGTAGAAGAGTGTGGACTAAGTTTTAAGAAGCTTGAAGAAATTCTAAAGTCAATGCCAAATTTGACAAATTTAACCATATCTGCAGCGCATAATATTAGCGACCTTTTCGATGCTAATCTGTGGGAAACTTTCATTAGAACATCGTTAAGGTACTAATATATACATACCGTGTTATTTGAAAAAAAGATCTACGAAAACACATCTTTAAAATCCTTTTTGTATCTGTCTTACGATAGTATTTTTTCTGATGTTTATGAAATAATTAACTTTAATCAGTACATATTCTTTTGAATTACGATTCTACAAAGGTTTTATCATTGTTCAGAATTTGGAGACTATAATTCTGTCAAGGAAATTAATATCATAAACACTATTAATTCCACTGTTAGTTAGTATCTACTAAATCGAATTATATTACATATATGATCATATTCATGATCTGATGTTCAACGAAATATAATATTTTCTGATAATAGCAGTAAATTTTTATTAATGAGAATTTATTAACACTAATCAAGAATTAAAAGCAAATGACGGGTTTCGTCACGATCATGTTTAAGTGTACTGCAAAGGATTTGTAATTGATTATACAGTGGTGTGAAAAATTATAGAATCAACCTCTTCCTTCGCTTTTTTCTTGATTTTGTTCAATGCCATTGATGTATTTTCATTCCGCATTTTGCACTAGTACAACAATTCAAAGATATTCTTTCATTTTTTATTCGAATAAAAAATGAAAGAATATCTTTGAATTGTTGTACTAGTGCAAAATGCGGAATGAAAATACATCAATGGCATTGAACAAAATCAAGAAAAAAGCGAAGGAAGAGGTTGATTCTATAATTTTTCACACNGCTCTCTCAAACGATGTTTTATGAAGTTTTGAGCATTTTCAAAAAAATCTTTTTTTGACCTTTTACCCTGACACAAACAAACAATTTTTTTCATATGACCCTCCTTTCAGTCGAGGGAATTCATAATCCTATCGAAAGAGAAATTAACGAGAGAAAATTGTGAAGTTTTCAATCGCTTTTTCAATAAAAAGCTTAAAGAATCGTATTAGTCTTGTAAAGCAAAACGATACGGAGAAGCATGCTTTGTCTTCCCTCCAATACGTTTTGTTAAGTAAAAGTGATTGTAAATTTGCTTATCATTTTGAATTAACAATAATAAATATTTGGGTGAGTGTAAGCGTGTGAATACAAATGCTCATGCAGACAAACACGCACACTCACACCCTTAAGTTAAGTGACACTTCTACTCACTGGCGAAGATTATTTTCGTAATCTTCTCTTCCGATTGACACAGGTGAAGAATTCCATTCAGTTTTCCAGCTGTTTCTGCTAGAAACCGATGTAGTCTCTATGTTTGCATAATCACTTTCCAACATCAACTTATAACAAAAGTCATATTCTTTACTTTGTTAAGCAAACGAACGTGTTCTATCTTGTCACGATTTGCATTATCTTTTGATATGAAGCGACATGTCGTGTAAAATAAAGAAAAACAACATGTGTACGAGAATCGAAATTTTACCGAATGAAATTTTCGGCGAATGTTTTCAATATTTAACTCCTGCAGATATATTTCATTCATTCGATCGATTAAATAATCGTTTTCATATGCTGATACGAAATATTCCATTACATGTCAACTTTACAAACATTTACAAATCACGATTTGATCGATTTTGCTCTCAGATAATCACAAATCCCGAAATCAAAAATCAAATCATTTCGTTACAGTTATCAAATAAAGATACATGTGGACAGATCCAAGCATTTCTCTCATTAATTGCACTTTTAACGAACTTGTCCATCTTCGATCATTAACATTAACTCACTTCGATAAAGATATCACCAAGCAAATCAAACGAGTTTTACCATCATTGACAAATCTAACCTATTTTTCTTACATTGGCGATGGTGATACGTTCTTCGGTCTCGAAATTGATAATGTATTCCCACTATCGCAACGATACACAGATTCGATATCGCTTACATCAATAACCAGTTCTGAATTGAATGCTCTATAAATGAAATATTTTGGTTATTCCAATATACACCAATGTTAAGGTATTTTAAAACTACAAGACTTTTTTCAGATCGATCTTCTGAGGAAATAAAGTATCTTGATGACGTATTTGCTGTTCATCTAAAACACTCCATTGTAGAAGAGTGTGGACTAAGTTTTAAGAAGCTTGAAGAAATTCTAAAGTCAATGCCAAATTTAACCATATCTGCAGCGAATAATATTAGCGACCTTTTCGATGCTGATCTGTGGTAAACTTTCATTAGAACATCGTTAAGGTGTTAATATATAATACCGTGTTATTTCAATAAAAGATCTACAAAAACAAATCTTTAAAATCCTTTTTGTATCTGTNCTCGACCTCGGTTACCTCATCAGTGGTCAATCTTTGATGATTATAGATAAATTTCATTGATTTATAATATGCTGCAATCTGATTGGATTATGCAAACAAACAAACTTTATGCATTTTCACGGCTGTATTTATGTCGCTATAACCCTTTCTTTCAGAAAAGGGAATATCGTATGCATCTATCATGACATGGCGTCATATCCGTAGGGTGAAAAAAGAAACTATGCATGTAGAATAGCACTGTACAACAGTATTCATCATGAAAATATTCAAGTTTTTCATTACAGACAAAATTATTTCAAATGATAACAGACGATTCGTGAGAATACTCAAATATATCCAATATAGCGTTGTCAAACCATTGATATACTTTACACCTTACTATATAGGTCTAAAATACTCTCATAGAGGCGGACAGATGCGTAAAGTATGAGAATGAAAAATTTATATTCGAATATTAAGAGAAAATCAATGTTATATTATGGGGTCCGATTGAACCCCAGGTGGGCAATATGCGTATACAGTGGTGTGAAAAATTATAGAATCAACCTCTTCCTTCGCTTTTTTCTTGATTTTTTTCAATGCAATTGATGTATTTTCATTCCACATTTTGCACTAGTACAATAATTCAAAGATATTCTTTCATTTTTTATTCAGAAAAAGTTCACAATTTTCCTTGTGAATAAATATAGAATCAGTGGTCATGTTTTCAATTTTACTATTGAATACTGATTTAAAATTTACTAAAAGTTTTACCACGGGATAAAATGCATTGTTGTATACGGCGAGGCATCGAATTCACCAACTGTTGACATCAAATCGGAGTAAAACCACGCCATAACTTACCTAACATCTCTTGAAGCTGGGCCACATTCGTTGGTTTCAGTTTTCTTAATTCTTTATCCATATAATCCCAAACGTTTTCAATCGGATTCATATCCGGTGAGTTACTGGGCCATTCCAAAATATTAATATGATTATTTTCAAACCAATCAGCTGTATATTTAGATCGATGAGCCGGTGCATTATCATGCATATAAGCCCAATTGTTATTTGATGCATCAAATGTATTTTCAATAAACATTGGCAATGCTTCTTCGATAACTTTTACGTATGCAGGGCCATTCAAACGTCCAGTATAAACAACAATTGGACCACGAGCACCACCAGACATACAGCCCCACACACTTCCACTTCCACCACCACCTTGAACCCTCGGAACGAAATTGAAGGGTTCATTTGATTCTGATTGTAATCGACGAACTAAAGTACGATTTTTTCTGTTCACCACCTCGAAGTGTGCTTCATCACTCCAAATGATATTTTGCCATTCTTTTAACCAATGTTTATGGTCCTTGGCAAATTTTAAACGTTGTTTGATTTGATCTGGTGTGCGTAATGGTTTACGTTTAGTTGTATAGCATTTATAACCCATATTTATCAGCCGACGACGTACAGTAGAAGCACATAATTGTTTGCCATTCGATGAATTCCATTCAGCTGCTAACTTTTGACTAGATTTTGTTCGATCCTCTTTCATAATTTTCAATAAGTATCGATCTTCAGCTTCAGTTGTAGCCTTTTTTTCTACCTTGACCAACTGAATTAAATAAAGGCAAGTTCTGTTTCAACTTTTGAGCAACACCAAAAACACATTTTTGAGACACATTCAACTGTCTAGCAATATATTGCTGGCCAAAACCATTTTCCAATAGAGATTTTATCTCGATTTTCTTTTCGTGAGTTACTATGCCTCGTCCCATGGCCAACCAAGAGAAATGACGCGATAAGAACTTTTCAATAAATCGAACAATGCATACAAAGTAGACAAATTCTCTCGAGAACGTTTGTGTTTATCTAACGAATAAAAGTTCTCCTCTTAAAACTGATAGATGTCGCAAGAACGATTAAACATGACCACTGATTCTATATTTATTCACAAGGAAAACTGTGAACTTTTTTTTTGATGTTTTTTGTTATGATGAACACGTGATTTGTGAACTTTTTCTGAATAAAAAATGAAAGAATATCTTTGAATTGTTGTACTAGTGCAAAATGCGGAATGAAAATACATCAATGGCATTGAAAAAAATCAAGAAAAAAGCGAAGGAAGAGGTTGATTCTATAATTTTTCACACCACTGTATAATCAAATAGATGCGAATAATACCAATTTGTTCTATGAGGCTTGCCTATGACAAACTCGGGAAATTGTTTCCTTGAAAGTTTTTCGATAGGAACTGGATGGAAGGATAAAGATAACAAACATGAGTATTGATGGTACAAACGAAATAAAATAAGCAGAAAAGTACAACCAGAAAGATTGAGATACATCTACACATCCAGATACCAAAGAAAGGATCAGACGTGGTGTTGATAAAAGAAGTAGAATTGCAGGACTAATGACAAGTTGTTTATGTTCGGCCCATTGTCCACGAATATGTTCTCTATACGTTTGTTGTCTTTGAACGCCTGCTCGTCGTCGAGCACTACTAATGATGATAAACAAAGCAGAAAAAAGATTTGCAATAAATGGACCCAGAAGATGAATAAATGAAATAGTTGTGTTATAATCTTCAACTGCTGGAGAATAACTAGGGTAACACCAAATATCCTTAGGTTTCGCAAATTCTTCTACATATATTAATCTTGTGCGACGAGTAGAGTGCTTCTCTTCATTATGTTTGTGTATTTTTCTGTATATTGGTTCATGAATAATCGTGGCCATAATCAGAATTGGTAGAATGACTATGATCCATCGAGCAAATCGTTTACTTTTCTTTTGATTAAAATGTATTCCTTTGTAAACATTCATTGCACGTTCAGTTGCAACACATGCATTGAGCCAGGCATCCCAATAAAAGAAAAGTTTGAGAAGAGTTTCAATTGACTTACAACCACCTTCAGGAATAGAGTGGCCAATAGATCTAGTCATGTTCGTGACAACAACAAACCAAAATTTGATTGTAAACATAGTGATTGTCAAAAGAGAAGTAATTGATGATGCCAGAAGATACAAACCACATCCAATTTTTCGCAAATTTGCATTTTGAAGTGTTAAAATTGAACAAATACTATTTGCTAGAGCAGCAACAAACATAATTATTGATAAAACACCACCTATTTTAATAACAAATGGTTGATCATTTATTGTCATACTTTGTTTCACTTGTGATCGTAAAATATCATCAAGATTTATTCCAATCGGTTTTCTTCGGGTCTCACATGGACCACCAACATTACAACCAACAGAATTGTCATCTAAATAAATCATTGAAAACGAAACAATCTCGAAATTTAAATACATTATATCTGTATTGAAAAATATTTATCGATTGAGTAATTTCATTTTTTTCAAAATAATCTTCTAGCAATCTCGCTACACTGCATTATATCTCAAGAAAAAAATGATTTTATTTGTTTTCAGTATTGATTATTTCTAAGATGCTATCGATACTTACTGATACGTTCAAGAATAACATTCGTGGGACCATACACATCGATTGACAAAGCATGGGCGAAGCCGAACCACGGTGAAACTTCACCTTTCACAAATAATATATATGTGCTTCCACGTCGAAAATGACCGGTATGTTTATTATACGTGTATTGAAGACAAACATGGCTTTTACTTGAAATAAGATTTTTGTAAAGATTTCGCCGATCGAAGTGATCTTTATAGACGTTTAATACTAGAGAAGCAGTTCCTTTAATGGAAAGAGTATAATATCCATCGACGAGTACAATCAATCGTATAGTTTCATAAAAAAAACATCGATCAGTTCTATTATCTTTAATAAATATTTGATTATTCGTTGTGAATACTAATGAATAATTCGAGTAAGCAGGTGACGAAGCATCTATTCAGAAAAATATCAATTTTTAATTTTAGATACAAATCATATTATCTATTGCATGATTGAGAGTTCTTCACTGATGTTCATGAAAATTTCTTAAAGATTACTCACTTATACGTTGGAAACTGACGTTGTTCCTACCAAGTACTTTAATTACAAATTCTCCAGTTGTATCTGGTGAGCATGTTGTTACCACCATTATGTATCGAATATTAGTTTGAAGTTTAATGGTAATTCCTGCCGGATCATAAATATCGCAAATATCCTGATGTTCGAGATATCCATCCGGAAAGAGTGAATAAAATTCATATTCATAGATAAAAATCGACGTGTCCATGTCCATACCTTCAATACTGCTCAGAATAGTATAAAAACCACTCTCATTGACATTTATTTGTATTGCTTCATAGTAATATTTTGAATGTCTTCCACAGACGGGAGGAGAATATTTTTCATGATCTTCCGTCAGTGCAGATATGTATATTGATTCAACAGATGGTTCAATACCTATCGGAAGAAAAAGTAACGTACGTATATACCTTCGTGATTCGTATAATCAACTACTTTTGACATTTACAATGTGGCAAAAATATTTTTAGACTAGTTTGGTAGAAAACTCAATAAACAAGTTCGATCGTATCTATCATCATTAGCTTTGTCTCTTTAACACATTTCTGTAGCAAAGTTAATCAAATTCAAATGATACTATAAAGTAATATTGTTTGTAAATCAGAGATCTTTTTAATAGTATGTTACTCACTTATGTTTTCAAGATGAACTTGATTCGACCCAAATATGGTGATTGAGAATGGGCCTGTTATGTTTGGATTGTATGTTGTTACAACTAAGATATACGTTTCATTCTTTAAAAGTTCAAGCGTAAATTTAAACTGATCTTTATTACAACATTTGCCATGCCATGCAATTAGGTTTTGCATAGGAGTAAGTCGATCAAAATGATGTTTATATACATGACCATAGAGATCAACGCTACTATTAGCAGTAAGGATATAGAAGTCATTTTTATTTACAACCAATTCTATAGCTTCATAATGATAATTTGAAGGATGTAATTTAGTACGTGAAAACGTTGGATGATTGTCTGTTAAGATCGATGAATGTATCGCTTGAATCGTTGGTGGAACATTAGCTAAATAGAAGAAAAAAAATCCGACAATAAATATCAACAATTGTGAAAGATATAGTGTATATGAAGAAAATAAGAAAAAAAAACTTATCTTTTTTATGATTATTCAATATATTATTTAAAGTATAAACTCAAAATCTACCGGCTCTACTTCCCATCAATAAGATGATTTAAACTCTTCATAATAATCAAAGTAAAAAGAAATATGTATTAAGAATAATTTTGTCAATGAAATATGTTTCTACTTACAACAAGAATCTTTCTGTAAGTCAAATTTTACAACTCGATCATTCATCCATTCACCAACAAACATGTTTCCATAAGTATCAAATCTAAGATTATCTGGCCCGTCAAGCCGATCAGATGGAAAACCTCGTCCCTTACATCCAACTAAACATCGAAAACCATTTGGTCCTGATCCAACAATACGATCATTCGTAAAGTCTGCAATAAAAAGATATTTATCAGCATCTAAAATAATTGCGCGTGGAGAAGAGAGTTCAATTGTTATGTCTGCTGAATTTTGTCCTGCTACTGTTATTCCATTTTTTTCATTGAGTGGAAATAATTGAATTCGATTATTTTCAGAATCTGCTACATATAAATCCAAGTTTGTATCAACAAAGATTCCCATAGGTTCATTCAATTCATTTGGAGCTGAACCTGCCCGACCTGTACCAGCCACAACTGTTATTTCCATTCCACTGTCTAGCCATATTTTTTCAACTGTATCCGCATACAACATGGAACAATATAAATAATTATTAATATCGATAAATAGCTGATAACCTTGTGATTCAAAGGTCGTTATATTAACAAAAGTATTCGTACTTGGTATCCATCGAATGATTTCACTGCGCCAACAACTAATATAAATTTCGTTAATCTTTGGAACAAATATAGATGAAAATATGCACCAATCTTGATCATGAATTGTCATGGGAAAAGTGTCGTGTTTACGCCAAACAAGAATTTGATCTCCTCCTGTATTGATAGCATAAATCGTATTGTCGATGTCAATAAATATTTCAATAGCATGATTTGATCCACGGTTTTTGTCCTGGAAAAATGTAATTGCAGGTTCATTCCATTTTACAGTTGGACAGAATTTCGGTTCATTGAGGAAAACAGCTATACAATGAAAAGAATAAAATTCATAATTAATTCAATAAATTTCTGAAACTAAAGATCTACGAATGCAACTGATACTTTGAAAGTGCACCAACCGGTAACATTCAACTTTGTTTAACTCTTAGATTTCAATCGAATGAAAAATATTTTTTGAATTAGAATCTTTACCTGATATTTTACTGATGAAAATCAACAGAAAAACAACATTCATTTTCAAACACTTGTTCATTAACATAGCCGATATGATATAGAGAATAAAAATGAATCTGTTCATGATTTCTTCAATATTTATATCTTTCTTTTCTTTTATTGTTTATTATGTATATGTAAATTTCAATAAAATAGAAATGATTGATGTGAATAAATTTTCTCTTTTATTACAACTGATGTCAAAAACGTTCTTCGTTTTGTTTTCTGTTATTCACACTAGTTTTTAAAGAAGATTGAATATAAATACAAATATTATTAACAAGTAAGAAAAGTCATGAAATATTTGTCGCGTGATTTTCTCTTGCACATTAACCCTTTCACTCCCGGTGACACCTATGTGTGTATAAACATTTCTAGTAAAAGTTTGCGTTTTTGCAGAGAAAGTCTGGAGTTCAAAGACTAAATGTAGGCGTGAAAGATAGATCTCATCAAGTTCTATCAAATGGTGTGTCTTTTTATCCTTTGATTTGCAGCTTTTTTTTTAAAGAAAACTTGGATTTTCCCTATAGGGGAATTTTAACCCTTAAAAGCTGAAACGTCCCTTCCAACGGACAATGCATTAATGGCTATAGAACGAAGAAATTAAGTCGTATCCACAAGAGCTACTATTTTGTCGAATGAGAACAGCCAGAGTGATAGTATCATAAGAAAAAAATCGTGTAAAAACAGTGGTCAGACACCAAAGTGTAGCTTTTAGAGTGTGTGACTTGTCAACCATAATTGGTTACTTGGATGTTTCTGTTTGATGATATATACAACGTGGATTTCGAGTGATATCATTAGAAATAATTCTAAACTATAATATAAAACAACTTTGTGCGTTTTAAACTCTTCTACTAAGGTGTTTTGAAGGTATAAAAAAGTGCCATTTTATGGGAACTTTTGGGCATAATCCTCAGGGTTCTTCGCAAATTCTCGCTCTATAGATAATTAGAGATATTTTAAAATTTCATCAACGTGAACTTACAGTGACTCTGAACCGTATAACAGGATCACCGAAACAAAAACGTATAGCGATCATACTTCACCCAGGTCATCTGGGTGGAAAAAGTTTTTGGTCCCACCCAGTAGTTCCAACCACGGTTTGTGCATATTGGGGGCCTAAACTCTCTATTTATGTGATTAATTCTTTCTCCATTTCACAAAAACCCTCTTCGGCTTTTAAGGGTTAATCAGAACATAAAACTAAATTTAGTTTTTTTTTCTAAAAATAGGATTTAACACAGACAAATTATTCTTCCACAACAATTGAGTAAAATAGTTAAAAAACTGCAGATATAAATGGTACTGTATGAAACCTATCGTGATACTGACGACTCACCGAAGGTCTCAGTGTTGACTTAGTATTGAATGTGTTGTTTTGATTCGATTGTTTTAGATTTTGTATCATTTCAAATCGATTCTTCGTTTAGGGGCAGCGACGAAAGGAACTGTAATTGTTTGTCGCGGTCTTCTCTTGAATATTAAAAATTTACGCCATAATTCTGGTAAACAAGCTAATGATACGATAGGTAAAAGCAAAATAACGAAAGATACCAAATAGAAGAAATAAGATGCTGAAACAGCGGCAAAACTATCCATTCCTGGTATCATCTTTCGAATAAAAGCTAATAAACTTTGTGGAAAGATAATACTTAAAGACAAAGTCGAAATAGAAAGCAATTGAATAGTCATTTTTCGATGTTTTCTCCAAAGAATCGGTTGATGAACACGATGTTTCTGCCATATTACTCGAATAAGAAGACCAACACTACATATTGCCTCAATAACAGTACAAATGACCCCATTCAGCATAAAATCGCACATGTCTAACCATGTTACTTCCAAATAGCAAGGAGATGAACCACATGATAATGAATCCATATCAAATGTATTTTCACATGGAGGAAATATGATGACACCAATATAAAATCCAATGATATAAATAGCGATTAATCCTAATGGAATATAATGAAATATGATTCTTTTTCGTTTTGTACTAAGAAATCGATTATGATGAAAAATCAAAATATGTCTTTCAAATGATGCCCATGTTAACATGATTATAACAGCACCATAAGCACCATAATCAATGAGCCACCAAAGAAGACAAATATTTGTTGAAGGATGAAATGAATTTGTTCCATTGTGTAGAAATGCATCGAGATATAAAGGAATATCAATAATTTCTATGATTAAACAGAGAAAAAGTAAAATGATAATCACATGGTTGTTTAATGCTTGTCGTAAATTTTTATTTGTTAATAAATGATAGACAAGATAAATAAGACAAATAAGTGATGGAATTTCAAAAATAAGAAATGTCCAAAATTGAACTTTTGCAGATGGAACTATTTCATTAATTTCTTCTTCAGATACATTTGTTTCATTGGACATTCTTTGAACAATTTTCAGTAGTTCTTTTTCTCTTAGATGACTTAATGAAATCACAATTTCTATTTGCTAGAAGTTTGTGAATAGAAGATTTAAAAAGCTAGACGTTCTAATACGATGTATTTAAGCTTTAATAAAACAAAGTAAAAAATGCTGATTCACATGAAAGGAAAACGTTATATTGAATTCTATTTTTGATTCAAATGAAAATATTCTTACGAATGTCATAATAACAAAAAAACGATAAGTCTCGTATTTAAAAAAATGACTTTTTCTTCCAAGCGCTATCTTGGAAAAGACAATATTTTTATCTTAAATTGGTTAATGAAATAGGAAAAAATGACTTGAGAAAATTGAGGAATGGAACGATTCACACAAAGGAATAATAAAATAATATTCTCGCCCTCATCCTCTTATAGTTAAGCGTACATCCAGACTGAGGGCAGATAAAAGAGCAAAGTACAAGTATGACAGGCACGAATATTGGACTTTTTAAATTGTCCTTGTCGGTTGTAGTTGAAAGTGGAATATTTTCTGAATTCGCTGTGAAGTCAGTGGTAAATTGAACACTAGTTTATAACGAGTATATATACAATAAAATCCAAATAATTGTGAATGATTTCAGATAATATGTTTTCTTACAGATTTCGACTAAGAAAAATGTCCATAGGATTCTTTGAATTTCATCTCATTAATCCAGATACTTAATCATTCTCCTGAGCATTTATATGCAAGTTTCGTATATTTTCTCGTAATTGATTTTGCCATTGTTCTTACTTGAGGCCAACATAGAAAAGAAACGTATAATTGGAATAATTTCAAAATCGTTTGTATCAATTTTCGAATGAAAACAGTATTGTCATGTGATCGATACATTTTTGCTCAAATTTCTTTTGAAGACGCAGTCCAGAAGATAGTGACTCAATTATGGTTGAGTATCGATAAGAAAACAAATGAAGAAAAAAAGCATGTCAAATATGTAAACAAATATACTCCATCGGCATATTGAATGAAAACGTATGATTAATTTGATCATGATCTAAATGATACTTAACTATCACGACTATAATCATCAAATAATGATGAATCAGTAGAAACAAATTCTCCTACGGTTGCGACAGAAATGTTCGATTGCAAATTTCCGTAGCGAGTAAGGAAAAGACGCTGTGATGATTGCCCATATTGACATTCGTATTGTCGGCACCGATCGAAGTGAGACCATTGGGATTCAAACCAACTTTCTGAATCACAGCTTTACGATTCTCCGATACGTTCACTGCTGATTCATCAGCATCATCAATTAAACCAACGATGCCTATCAGACAGAGAACACAAAAAGGAGTCATCCTCGGGCGAACACTGCAATCAAAGAAGCAGTACCCCTTTGTACACCGAGATTGGAAAAATATTGCACACACACTGGAAAGAACTTTGTGGTACCCTTGTTCGATGCATCGAACATGATGGAGTAGTGGTGAGATTCTTTGACTTCAGTCAACACTTGTTCGGTAAAATAAGGAGCTAAAACATTTGTTGCGATGGCCGAAGACTTGGTCCGCGCACAGGACATAGATTTTCCAATGGTTGAAGATGAGAAGATCGTCTTGATCACACTAGTTGTGCACTGCTGAGATCGATAAGAATGTCCATGCTTCACGCCGTGGTACACTAAACTGCCTTCAGCAGCTGCTGTTTCTTCACTTTCTTTTACTGGTCTCATCGTCGACGTTATCAGTTCTCGATCGATACGAAATGATCGCATCGCATGGACATGTTTTTGCAGTTTCATGTGTCGCTCGATGTCATTTTTTCCACCGTGATGAATCGAGAATTGATCATTGCAAGCGATACAGATAGCCTTCGTCGAATCGGAATTGCATTCTCGCAAGAATGAGGTAAATTTCGTGTCAACGATCCATTGACGATTAAATACACCTTTTTTCTTCTTCTCTCCCAAAACCTCCATTGATTTGCCACGTTTGCGCTCAGTCGTTGATGATAGTGGCAGCGGCATCGTTGTTGCTACATTTTGCGAATTATCTTCATCTTTGCTGTCAATCACGATTTCGATATCCATTAGAACTGAGAGCTATGTGAACCGCGTTGTTAGTTCTTCAGAAAAAAGAGAGAAGCAGGACGAAGAAAGAGTGGAGAATATACAGTACTAATGGAGCCAATCAAAAATTCGATCCATCACTAGTACGAAGAGTGGCTACTCTGTTTAGCCAATTGGCGTTGAGAAAGAAACCTTCTGAGTCAAACATCGAAATTTCGAATTTTATTTGGTCCACTGGTTCTAGTCTTTCCACAACGATGTTCACATTTTCAGCGAAAAGCGGAAAAAAGCGGAAGTGCGGAAAAACTGCGGAAAAAAGGCCGAAAAGCGGAAATTTTCCGCAAAAAGCGGAAGATCTGGTCACCCTGTCTAGGACCCAATTAACATCAATACATTGGCCTGAATAACATTGCCATTGATCTTTAGAGCATATCCACCAATGTTTACAAATTTCACGATCTTCATCTATCTGAAATTCTATATCCCAAAACGTATTGCAATAGGCGCGAAATAACAAATTTTTTACAGGTTGGAATACTATATCAACTTCCCACGAATGTTTAATATATTGCCTAAGAATTTCGCGATCACTATTTGATTCACTATTGTAGTTTAATTTTGCCGGAAGTATTTCATCATAATTATTATTACAATCATTATCATCATCACTGAGAAAATGAATAGGTAAACATGTTGGCTGTTCAGAAGAACATCGAAAACGATGTCGACGCATTCTTAAACATGTTTTTAATACTAAATTTGTATTGATCTCAGCTTCATCAATTCCACCTACGCAATCAGAGAGTCCATCTGCTATACGATAAGCAGAGATGCATTCTTTCGTACTATTGCATACATCAATGACATTATATGGTTGATCTGTAAATGTTTGAGAATCATTGTAGCAAAACTTATCATAACCATATCCAAGAATAGAAGAATTCTCTACTTGAGACATGCAGAAGAACATTTCCCATTGCTGAAGAGATTTATATGTATAATATGATATATCTATATAATTTTGGATTAAATATTGCCGACATTTGATAGTTCCATTGATTATAATAACATCGGCTGTGTAGTCTTTCCATGATCGCTGGATGTTATAAAAATGATTAATGTAAGGACCAATCATTGCACCCTGAGGATATTGAATAAATGGTGATGGACAGTACTTTCTTATTTGTTCAGTATAGTCCTTACCATTACTCATAGAGACACAGTTCTTCTCTGCTCCATCTGAAAGAACACATTTCAAGAAATAGATGCATAGTTCACTATTAGTTTGGTTTGAAATCTTGACTTCATTATAGTCTACGCCTAAATAACATCTACCATTGGGTAAAGTCCATTGTTTTTTTACTTCATGAGTTTCACACATGTAATATTGCTCACGATAACTTTTACATGTTTCTGAAGTCTCCGAGGATTTCTGGAAACCTAGACGATTGGTAATGCATTGTCCATCACCACATGAATAATGACGTCTTAAACACGTGCGATCATCACATTTCATATTAACTTCTTGAAATGTGCAATCAAAATCAGTTCTATAACCAATTTCATCTGTTGTATCCATACAATCATAATCACCATCAAGAAAATATTGATCAGGTATACACATTCCATTTACACATCGATATTCATCATTTTCACATTCATTAAATTCTAATTTATCACAATTTTCTTCATCATAACCGAACATACATTGTTGAAAACCATCACAAATATCTCGCCAATCAAGACACATCAGACCTGAATCACACAGTATTGTTTTATAACATAAAATATCACCATATATCTGCATGTCATTTTTATTCTTCCTTCTTTCTTCTAATTCCCATTGAAGTGTTTCTTCGAATGTCGCACCAAATGGTAATATATATTCACAATGTCTTCCAAATGATTGCGAATTTGTACATTCACATATATAATTATTGATCTCATCAGTGACATAATTCATATAATCTTCTATTTTTTCAATCCCAGAATTCCAATTATGTCGAATAAAACTCGCATTGATGGAATTATTCACCAATGAACTGAATGTATGAATTTTACCATCATTATAGCAGTATTGTGTATCATTATCTCGTTTTAGAACGATTGGCTCAGTTGGACGACGACAATAAAGAAGATCTTGATGGTACATACAATCATAAAATTGTGCTGATAAAGTATCTTCAGTATGATATATATAAACCTTTGTTTCCACAATAGATAGAAGCAATGCTATACATAGTATCTGTATCATCATATTTTCTCTTACTGAAATTTATTTTAAAAAATTTATGAATAGTATTCTTTTTTTCCCGTCTATTTATCATGTTGAATTCGTAGACATATATTTAGTTTTAAGTTACCTATTGTATACACACGTTTATAAAATACAATGCGTAAATAATTAAGACTGTCGACAAATTCACACGTCTTACATGACGTTTTTATTTTGTCAGTTATAGTGTTTTTTTCTATATCAATATCGTACGTTTGACAAACTCCAATCTAATCAGAAATTATCCTTTGAGACTAGACAGTTGTTTTATCAAATGCACTTGCTCAATTTATATAGAATGGTTATTTCTCACTCCAACAATCAACATAGGTAACATATTCTAATATATTTATTGGTATATTAAATTCAAAAATAAGTCGGATGACTTATCGCATGTAGTATGTTGATTTTCATGAAATAGATCTCTTTTTGTGATTAAGGAGTAATAGTCAATTGTTAAACTATTTTTATTCATTTCTGTAAAATATATATATATATTGAAAAATTCTATTAATTAAAATATGATTATACGATTCCATAAGAAAAGTCAATAAAAGACTAAACCATTGTGCCATTTGATAAAATTCAAGTTTAATTAATAACAAAAAAGACAATTGTATAGGTTTTGTAATAATATGCATTATAATATGAGAATATGTTCCATAACATGAAGCTATTAGATTATTAACAATAGCCGTACCTTCAAGTGTGATATTATTATATAATGTATCAGTGTGAAGCTAGCACGAAGGACGTAGCACGAACAAGCGATGTGTTAGCTAAAAACGTTTTTACTAAGTATGTCCCGTCCATGAAAACTACACCATTCGACTCAGAATTTAATTCTGCATCGAATGGTGGCACTTTTATTCACCGGACAAACTTTGGAAATTTTTCTATCTATATCTTTGTTCGTTTCCTTTAGGTCTATTTATAATCCAGATAGAGTTTTTCCAAAGTTTGTCCGGTGAATAAAAGTGCCACCATTCGATGCAGAATTAAATTCTGAGTCGAATGGTGTAGCTTTCATGGAAGGGATATATACTTAGTAAAAACGTTTTTAGCTAATATATCGTTTGTTCGTGCTAGCTCCTTCGTGCTAGCTTCACACTGATGAATCTAATACCATTACTTACTATTTTATTTTAAAATGAATTATCCTCAATAAAAACGGTCCCAACAGATTCAGATTCTCTACATCGAATCGATCCATTTTCATAGATAAAAACATTCATTTTTAAGCTAAATCTCTGTTTTTCTTCGTGCTAATTCCATGATCCTATAGAATCATATTGCTAATAGACATTCGATTAGGAACAATTGTTTGTTTTGGACTTTTCCAGAAGAATAATATTTCCATTTTCTAACTAATTTCAGATATTGTTCCTAAACAAATATATAGAAAGTTGGATATAACATAACAACCAAAGAAAAACATGGCATTCTGGATAATTTGTAGTGAATCTAACGATAGATCAAATAAACCAAAAACTTGTAGAATTGTCTATGAAAATTAAAAAATATCAAAGGCAATGAAGATTGATAAGACTTGAGTAATCATCTTTCTTTGTCTTTTCGATTACATCGATTGTTTCACTTGAACTCTTCGTTGAAAAAAAAAGAAAGAAAAGTGCAAAAATTCGAATATGACCAAAATTGGGAAAACGGTTGTAAAATTTGCCAATTTCCATCAAGTTGGTAGTAATGAATAATCAGAGGAAAATTCGTATATTTCATAACTAAATCGACGAAAATTATCATTATAATAAGATGATTATTCAATGGTTGACGATTATTTCGATTGAACAATATATGATATAAAACATCAGAAAAAAAGGTAAAATCGAACAGAATATGAAATTAGAAGATCTTCATAAGCTGAATATACTTTGCCAATAGAATGTCCTTTTCATGATGATCAAAAACAACACATGTTTCTGATTTGATGTTGTAAGAAGAATGGATAAGTGTTTTTCAACTCTTCGTATTATTTTATAATGTTATTCGTCTGAATATTTATCGAATTGACATTCCTTGAAAGGTAATGTGAACTCTCAGTAATCTATTTATATGAAGAAGATATTTTGTTTGTTTGTTCACAATGCATTTGAAAACTAAGAGTAAATGTAACGAAACTTTCCCATAGATGATTTCTACATTCAGAGGAAAATCGTCTGAACACATATCGTTGATAATTTCCATGTTCCATTCCAAACTATTTTAATTTATAGTTGATACACAACAAAAAAAGATCTTACTAATGATTCCGACTTCTTTGATTTAGTCGCACATTTGCATCTTTGTCAAGAATTAGACGAGAAAATAGAAAGATAAGGTAACGAATTAACTAATATTCTCTCATGACGATTTTCCGTCTATCTCTTTGTTCATATATCCAGATGTCTCAATTACTTCTAATGGAGACGTATATATGTATTACTAACTATGACAGACACATTGTTTGAAATTGATTTGACTAAAAGATTCTGGACTAAACAAAAGTGTGAAGAAATAAATATTCTATTTATTGTCAACTTGATAATCTATGTGTAACACATTGATTCGAAATCTTTTGAAGAGAAAATTTGAATTTCTTTGATGAAAGAAAACGTAAGTGTTGTGACATTTTGTCTGATAACATTGTCTAAGATAGTAAATATAAATATATCTTCATATATCGACACTTGCTAACATTAGATTGTTTCTTTTTCTTATTTTGCCTTGAAGAATAAAGATCAGTATCATAATAGCACAAATGTATGTTTATCCCTCAGAAGAAAAGATCTCTTATATAAACAGACACTTGTGAACAATTATGGATCAACAATTCATATTAAATAATAAATTACCTCCGGTAATTAATTTGATTGATAATATTTTAAATTTATCCCGATCATTTTTATCAAATAATGATATGAAAACTTATTATCATTTGATCAATTTAAATTGGCATGAGAAATATTCCGTAAGTCAATATAAATTATCTTTTGAATTAGAAGAAAAGGTTAATTTTTGTACTCGTTAATCTTAGTCTAAGAAAGATATGTTTGTATGTACATGACGAGTTCTATAGACTGTCGTCAAAAAATGTATGTCAATCAACATTCAAATAACAAAACATTTCTTTTATATTCTTTGAGAAACTTTTTCATGATTTCTTTTGATATTTTGTTTGAAAAAGAAAGAAAAACGAAAGTATTTGAAATGAATAGACACACAAAGAGAGATAATTGATTTGTATATGTTAACAAATGGATATCTATTGCGANAAACAAGTTCGATCGTATCTATCATCATTAGCTTTGTCTCTTTAACACATTTCTGTAGCAAAGTTAATCAAATTCAAATGATACTATAAAGTAATATTGTTTGTAAATCAGAGATCTTTTTTAATAGTATGTTACTCACTTATGTTTTTAAGATGAACTTGATTCGACCCAAATATGGTGATTGAGAATGGGCCTGTTACGTTTGGATTGTACGTTGTTACAACTAAGATATACGTTTCATTGCTTAAAAGTTCAAGCGTAAATTTAAACTGATCCTTATTACAACATTTGCCATGCCATGCAATTAGGTTTTGCATAGGAGTAAGTCGATCAAAATGATGTTTATATACATGACCATAGAGATCAGCGCTACTATTAGCAGTAAGGATATAGAAGCTATTGTTATTTACAACCACTTCTATAGCTTCATAATAATAATTTGAAGGATGTAATTTAGTACGTGAAAACGTTGGATGATTGTCTGTTAAGATCGATGAATGTACCGCTTGAATCGTTGGTGGAACATTAGCTAAATAGAAGAGAAAAGAATTCGACAATAAATATCAACAATTGTGAAAGATATAGTGTGTATGAAGAAAATTTTAAAAAAACTTATCTTTTTTATGATTATTCAATATATTATTTAAAGTATAAACTCAAAATCTACCGGCTCTACTTCTCATGAATAAGATGATTTAAACTCTTCATAATAATCAAAGTAAAAAGAAATTTGTATTAAGAATAGTTTTGTCAATGAAATATGTTTCTACTCACAACAAGAATCTTTCTGTAAGTCAAATTTTACAACTCGATGATTCATCCATTCACCAACAAACATGTTTCCATAAGTATCAAATCTAAGATTATCTGGCCCGTCTAGCCGATCAGATGGAAAACCTCGTCCCTTACATCCAACTAAACATCGAAAACCATTTGGTCCTGATCCAACAATACGATCATTCTTAAAGTCTGCAATAAAAAGATATTTATCAGCATCTAAAATAATTGCGCGTGGAGAAGAGAGTTCAATTGTTATGTCTGCTGAATTTTATCCTGCTACTGTTTTTCCATTTTTTTCATTGAGTGGAAATAATTGAATTCGATTATTTTCAGAATCTGCTACATATAAATCCAAATTTGTGTCAACAAAGATTCCCTTAGGTCCATCCAACTCGTTTGGAGCTGAACCTGTCCAACCTGTACCAGCCACAACTGTTATTTCCATTTCATTGTCTAACCATCTTTTTGCAACTGTATCCGTATCCCACATGGAACAATATAAATAATTATTAATATCGATAAATATCTGATAACATGGATTTTCGAAGGTCGTCGTATTAACAAAAGTATTTGTACTTGGTATCCACCGAATGATTTCATTGGTATTACAACTAGTATAAATGTCACCAATCTTTGAAACAAATATAGATGAAAGTTTGCACCAATTTTGAACATGAATTATCATGGGAAAAGTATCTTGCTTACGCCAAACAAGAATTTGATATTCTCGTTTAAGGGCAACATAAATCGTGTTGTCGATGTCAATAAATATATCAACATCAGTACTTGATAATGAATCTTCATCGTTCGGGGAAAATGTGGTTGCAGGTTCATTCCATTTTACGGTTGGACAGAATTTCGGTTCATTGAAGAAAACAGCTATGCAATGAAAACAATAAATTTCATAATTAATTCAATAAATTTCTAAAACTAAGTATTTATGAATGCAACTGATACTTTAAAAATGTACCAATCACAATCAATCAACTTTGTTGAATTCTTAGATTTCAATCGAATGAAAAATATTTTTTGAATTAGAATCTTTACCTGATATTTTACTGATGAAAATCAACAGAAAAACAACATTCATTTTCAAACACTTGTTCATTAACATAGTCGATATGATATAGAGAATAAAAATGAATTTGTTCATGATTTCTTCAATATTTATATCTTTCTTTTATTTTATTGCTTATTACATATAAATGATTGATATGAATAAATTTTCTCTTTTATTACAATTGACGTCAAAAACGTTCTTCGTTTTCTTTTCTTTTATTCCCAACAGTTTTGAAGAAGATTGAATACGAATACAAATATTATTAACAAGTAAGAATAGTTATGAAATATTTATCGAATGTTTTTCTCTTGCACATTAATATCGTAAAAACTAAATATTGTCAAAATTCTGTTTTTTTTAAATAATTTATTATGGCATGATTATCGTTTCCAAATCTTTAAAAGTCATACTGTAAAATAATAAATACAAAAGAAATTCATAGATCAATATTGTTTAAAACTTATTAAAAAAAAAAGAATTTATTCTAAGATCGACAATAACTTATCACAATTATTCTTGTTCATATATCGTCTATATTCTTTTTGTACAGAAACAAATGATGCAGAATCAAATGTACATATATTTTCCGTTGTATTTGTAATGGTCTATGATGAATTAGAATGTATTTAATATTTAAATGCTATTCTGTATCGAATATTTTAGGAAATAGATGGTGTTGAAAATGTTAGAATGCAATGAACTGTCTTTTGTTGGTCTTTACTATACTCTTTCTAATAGATATATGTCAGCGTCCAATCTCGGATTGGCGTAGGCCAATACCAGATTCACCTAAACCAATCCGAGATTGTTAGCTGATATATATATATATATAAATTTCAAAACGATCGGATCAGTCTTTAAGGAGTTATCGCGAAAACGAGCCGTCGAAGATACGCTAAACGATTTTATAGTGCCCTCGCTTTTGAGTACACATGCGTTAAAATCCTGATCTGAATATGGGTAGTTTAAATAACTGCTAATGGTCACACTCTGATCGAATATTTTCTCAAGGATTCCGCTTATGATAGAGCATGTTACTTGAAAGAATATGTGTACGACTCAACTTGCAAGACACGACTTTTTTCCTACTTGTAAATGGGGAATAGAATACAAAAAGAATTAGGCATGCTTTACTTTATCATGTTCTTCAAAAAGAAAAATTTAGATAACGAGCACACTGTTGCTCGTTTTGTCTCTCCTGTAAAGCAGTTATCTGCAGAACACTTGAGTTTTTCGTGTTAAGCGAAAAATACAAACAGCAAAAGAATGCAATAAATTACAATGTATCTCTACCATGTTTTCAACCCTAAAGACCGAAAGGAGTTCTTGCAAGATTCCAGTGAAATAAATCACATGTATGAAGAATATAAACCTTCACTTTGCACATACTCTGGTTGAAATCTCTGGGTGGCACTTCAGAGTTCGAACGCATATCTCAACGAATAAATTCTGAAAAAAACTCGAATTGACAGTACTAAAAAAATTTGCCAAATTGGCATTCCTCTTTAGAGGAATCGCTTGATTTATTTGAATAGATCTCTTGTCAAATTCAAATGCTTCATCATAATCTTCACATCTACACATGCTTAACTCGATCGTTTGTTGTTTCTTTCATTCATATTTCGTAAATTTCTTTTGCTTTATGAATTGGCCAATTTTGAGCATCAGTTGACCAAATCAAATACATCTTTTTGATTCAATTATTCGTTTTACACATTTTCAAAAATCTTTGCAATATCTTTCTCGCATATACTAAAGAATTTTTCTTCTTGTCTCTTTCAAGTAGAAAAACAATTTCAACTCCATCTCTGTCTTTGGCAGCCGTTCGACTATTCACACGAATACTAAATGTGGTACGAGAATGACTTAAGTACAGTACACTCTCATCAATACATCCATACTGAGTTTCAATGGTAACTACAACGGAAATGGGGGAAAAGAAAGTCCGCTGTTCTTTCGGTCTGTCAGCTAATAAAGTTTTTTGCTCATATTCTTAACTTTGTTTTCATAGACGGTTCTTTCCCAAGCAGATCTTGGAAAGCTTTTCACAACTACTCAACAATAAATTCTAAACGAACAGTCATTTGGATAAACTATTGATTGTGTTCGAAAACACCAGCATGATTTATTGCTATTTCGATTGATGCTAATTGGATTTTTATTCGAAAAAATATGGTAGAAAATGTTGTACAGATTTAATCATTCGTCTCATAGCCATTTTTATCACTGGAAATGATCTCAAAACTTATTTGATCATTTTGTGAACAATATTCCATCTATTTATCATATTTTTTCATATATGTTTCGTGGGTTCATGTGCTCAGTTATCTTTAGATTTCATAAAATACGAAGTGTCTTAAAATGTAGATTATATTATGAAGTTCATCATAACCTGCAAAGACATGCACGTAGGTTAAGCATCGAAAGGAAGAAAAAGAGTTTTTGATGTTTGTTCTGTCAGAGATGTGTTTCTTTCGAGGAAAGTACGCACCAGAACTTTCTTTTTGTAATTCCATAGAAGAGAAAAACAAGAAAAAAGTACGTTAGGATCAGGGAAAGAACGTTCTAATGGAAAAAAGTACGTTCTTAGAAGAAATATTTCTGTTTTTCTAGAGCATTTTAAAAGTAACTTGAGAAGCGTGTTCATTTGAAAGAATTTCCTTGTACTTGCTACTAGTGAACATTTATTTCAGATGATTGAATCATCGAATGAAAATTTATCATCCTTGGGACGTCCCATTTGGCTTCAAAAAGTCATTGGTTTCTATTCACGAAAATTCCATTTCATTGTCATTCCTATTGGAATCATTGTGGCTGCCATTCATCTCAAATTTGCTATTCAANAATAATAACTAAAATGATAGCCCTCATAAGGAGTGAAACTTTAGTTCTTATGTGTCACTAGATGTCAAAATCGAATGAAAATTGTGATGACAATGATAGGGAATGTAAACTACCAATAACATTTTTATGGTAAAGACATTATATTGTATTTTAGACTCTCGATCATTTAATCCAAACGTTGTATAAAAAAGCGGAAGAGCGGAAAGAATGGCAACCCTGGTTGCAATATGGAAGAATTAGATTTTCGTAATGAGATTCGAAAGTTGATTTACGTAATGATATAAAATTGACTTTAATGGAATATGTTGGCTGAATAAATAGATTTGGAAAACGTCGATTAAGATTTACAAAAATTTCACAATTTTGAAAATAATCGAGATATTCGTATATTTCATAGAGGACTTCATTGACAAGATCCTCAGCTTTTATCTTTCGACTAACACCTTTTAGTCTCAATGAATCGACTGTTGATGCCGCCAAAGTAATATTATTTTCTGATTTGCGCTGTACCCATTTGCTCTTCAAGATGGGAAAAAACCAGCGTGTACTCCATTTGTTTGTTTTCATATGCGGCAGAGAGAACAAGAGAAAATGTTGTTTTCTCGGTCTCGATGAAGTAACACTTAGCTTTGTCAGCCGTAAAATAATCGAAAAAATCGTTTTTCTGTTCGAATGCTGAATGTGATTATATGTGGTAAAATGTCGAAAGTTCAAAGTGTGAAAGAAAATAATCTCAAAAAACGAATATCGGTGTAAAGCGCAGAAGCGATGAACGATAGGTTGTGAATTCATGTTTATTTGTTACCGAAACAATTCAAATGATATTTGCAGCTCGACGAGAGACAAAAACTGTTCTTTCATTTGTCTCCGCAGTTTTCATCAAAGTCGTATCGTGTTTACTTTCTTGAAGTATGTTTGTCTGTGTTTTTGGCGGTCAACGACAATAATCGAGGCGATGAAATGTAAAAGAAATACAAAATTGCGATCTGAAAAATTCATCTTTTTTTCGTTCTGTACAAAGTAACGACACAAACATACGAAGCTCACTATAAGCATCCATCAATACAGCTTACGTTGTAGATTTGAATTTGACGCCGACGAGCGGTGCATAGTAAATGCCGCATATTGAAGTGATTGCGTGGATCGATGCAAATGCAAGCGTGGCGACACAGGCACGTCTGCGTGCGCTTGGACCCGAGCTGGCTGTATTCTCCGATTTAGAATCATGTATTGATCATATCAGCTCCCCTGATAAATCATTTGCTGATGTACTGTTGATTGTCTCAGGTTCGTTCGGACAAAATCTAGCACATGTTCTTAATGGTTTACCTCAAGTATATGCTGCGTATGTCTATTGTTTTAATATTAGCAAACATGTTGCATGGGCTGAAAAATACTCTAAAATCGGCATCTATCGAGTACTGAACCGAGAAGATGATCTTCTTACACGAATTGCTGGCGATTTAAAAGATGCACAAGATCAGACATGTGTAAGTGTTTATACTATTAATATGATGCTATAGTTCTTTTATTCGTGTTGCCTCAGGAACTACCGGCGGCCACATTTCTGAGTCGCATTGTACCCAATGAACAAGAAACGAATACAGGAATCAACATCTTTACTGCAGATGAACTAAATAAAACAACGCGCGATCTAACCGAAGAAAAAGTTGCTTTTGTATGGTTTCAAGTCTTAAGTGAAATTCTCATTACGATGCCTCAACTACCAACAGCCAAGGAAGAACTGCTTGAAGCATGGAGTCAAGCATGTGGTACTAGCCGTAATGAGACGAACCTAATCGATCAATTTCGTCGAGATTACACACCAGAGCAAGCATTTTATTGGTATACTCGAAATACGTTTCTCTACAAATCTTTAAATCAAGCATTGAGATCTGAAAATATTGACAATATTTATAAGTTTCGATTGTTTATTGCTGATTTACATGAACAATTGACAAGCGAATTTCAATCTTCTGATCCAGCGGAACCAGACTTAACAGTTTATCGTGGTCAACGCATGACCATAGCTGAAGCCGAAAAATTGTGTCATAATCTTCATGGTCTTATTTTCATGAATAGTTTCGTTTCAACGACAGTCGATAAAGCAGTGACACGCTCTTTTCTCACAGCAAAGAGTAAAGACCAACGAAAGACAACGGTGAGCGTTCTGTGGAAAATGCTGCTCAATAAGGATATCGCTCGAGAAACACAAAAACCATTTGCAGATATTAAAAACTTCAGTGCTTTTAACAAAGAAGCTGAAATTCTCTTAAGCATGGGTACGATATTTCGTATTGATAAAATTGAACGATCGTCGCCGGATTCCTATTGCTTCGAGTTGACGATGTGTCGAGCCAGTATTGATCCACAGGTAAGGTTGAAATAACTTCACATATTTGACTTACGTTTGAAAACTTCTTTCGATATTAGCATCAAGCATTATATGATTATACACAAAAACAAATCGCCTCTGTAGAGGGAATGAATTATTCCACATACGGAAAGTTTCTCGCTTTCATGTCATGTTTCGACAGTTCGATTGCTTATTATCATCAAGTCTTATCAAAAGTGCCCAAGCCATTGAAGCTCAATGACGTTGCTCTAGCAACCATTCATAATGATTTAGCTTATGCATATCGAGAGTCCCATCGATATCAAGAAGCAGTCCGACATTATCAAACTGCTCTTGATTTAAGGTTGATGCAAGGGCCTAGCGGTGAAAAGGATTTGGCAATAACTTATAGTGATTTTGGATGGTTGCTGATGAACATGAGGCATATGGAAAAAGCGCTCAATTTTCATCAACGAGCATTGAAAATTCGAGAGAGAAGTTTGGGTTACAACCATAGCGATACTGCTATGTCATATAACTGTCTCGGCCTCGTTGCTACATATACTGGAAATTTTGATCTCGCTTTACAATATCTGACAAACGCATTGACTATTCGACGAGAATGCTTACCTGCTCAGCATCCTTTCATAGCTATGACGTTTTCATCATTCGGTTCCTATTACGAGGCGCTCAGTGATTATTCTGAGACAGAGAACGTATCGGGAGAAGCACTAAAAAATCGTTCCCTAGCGTTGGAGATGCACAAACAAGCCCTTTCAATTTACAAGAATTCCGTACCGCCTACACATGGTATTCTCGGTAGTAGTTACAGATCCGTAGGCTTACTGTATCTTCGACACAGAGAATGGCAAGCAGCCATCCAACACTTAACAGCATGCGTATTTATTCGACGCAGAAGTGGCAGCGATAGGCTTCCAGATTCCCTGTATAATTTGGGACAAGCCTATGCCGGGCAAGGCGAATATCAACGAGCGATCGATTTTTACGAAGAAGCTTTAACGCTCGCCGAAAAAGCAGGAGAAAATAGACTCGCTGAACAGATTCAGAGAAATATTCAAAGATGCAAAAATAGATCTGACTAAATTCGACAACTGTTAGTTAATATCAAACTTTTCAACTGAATATAATCTTGAGGATGTGGGTAATGATCTTTTAAGCTAACAAGTGACTCTTTGGGACATGGGTTCGTGACAGACCTTAGTGAGCTCTTGCAAACCCTAGTAGACTCTGGTAGAAATAATGGCATACATTATATAGATATCATTATATAGAAATTTGAATTATATTGTAATTCATTTCCGGCATGGAATCCTCTCGAATGACCAACTCCAGAAGAAAAATATTTGCTAATAAGAGATCGGACGTTAGAGCCGTAGTTTGTTTCGAGTGTGTCTTGTTCATAAAAATATACATTTCCAAAGAAAAACCTTTAGGATCAATAATGAATCAATTCCATCTTTACTCCTTCAGTCGAGGATTACGCGAGTCTGCCTTGACGAGCGTTACTAGTGTTATGTGCAGCGTACAACAGTGTTAAAGATCCACCTGATTGGATGTACCAAAAGAAAATATTTCGTTGCAAATATCGAACATAACAAATTTCATCAATCTTGTTTTCGTTGATATTTGTGAATCATGAATTCAATACAAAAAAGTGTAAAATATTTGATCACAGTACTAGCTGCATATGATTGAAATAAACTTCGTTGTTCCTTTCAACTATTGATTGTTTTTTGTTCTCACAATTACACGCAAAAAGAGTATTAATAGCGATGATGCTACTATACTGCTTATCTTCATCGGTCATCACAATACAATCGGACTCACTTTTTTCAAAATTGTATAACATGTGTTTTTGCATATTAATTATGTCACCAGCAAGACCAACCTTAATTGATATTTTTTCATGATTGCTTTCTCGCATGTGTTGCGCTTTCAATATGAAATGACATGTGCATGATTAAGTTATAGATTTTCAAAAAAGAATCGTTAATTTTTTGGAAAATGAAGAGGATTTGCCGATGTTATCTGAAATAATTTATAATTTACTTAAGATTTTTGAAGGATTTATTATTTTAGAATTCAGAAATATCGATTTGCTCTGATTATATAGGCTTTATTCGTTTTCTTTCTTATGCAGACATTATGATCACCGACACGGTTCATTATCTCTTCATTTATATTAAATTGGAAGCATATATAGCGCAAAAAAATTACATTTTTTTCATAGCCCGACCTGTTTTTTGTTTTAACAGTACTACTGTAAAACATCGATCAAGTATAATTATGTCGTATAGGTATAAACTTTTGTAAAAATTGTTTTAAAAGAAGAATCGAAAATGTTTATTTTAGATCCTTTTATCATTCAGTGCAACAACGAGTCTTCGTAGATCATAAACGATCTCCAAGGATAGTGCCAATTAGAGGACAAGATTGCGTAATTATATATAGAAAAATAGAACGATGGTTGGATATTCATTATCCTGGTTATCAACTCATACAAACTGCACAAGTCAAACAAAACAATCGGTTTTATTGTCGTAAAACTTTTCGTACGGTTGATGGACGTGTAAAAGTTATTTTATTTGATTCCACAGATGATGCACTCTATGAAAGAAATAATACTAGTTTGATGTTTCAAGGTGGCACTAAAATACGTGTATGGGCACGACAAGGATCAATGCCTACAAGAATCGAATACTTTACATAATCTTTTCGCGCAACCATTAGCATTATTAATGAAAACGGTTTTTTCAAAGGAAAAGGTTTTAATAAATGTTAATAAATTGGCCAACCACCATTGAAACCCACGCTGTCTCTAGCTTTCATTTTTATTTCATCTGATACACTTTTCAGGTAATTTCGAACAAACAACTGTAGCCGAACTTGAGGGTGAGGGTATTGGGTGTCTGTTATCTCTCACCGCCATCCTCAAAATATTCATTTCTTATCAAAACGTGACAGCAATTGTTCTGTATTTCATTATTCCGAGAATCTGAATCGTCTGTGATAATTTTCATAGATAATGAGCATATAGGGTATATACATGAGGGTAATTTCGGTGTGCAAATAACCTATTCTCACACACCCACATCCTCAACATTTTAAATACTAGTTATTCGGTTGAAGGCTCAGCGAGTTTACCGCGATGAGCGTTAGTTGTTTATTACTGATTGCAAATAAGTGAGCTTGAATTATTGAGAATAAACACTTACTAAGTTTTTAATAAATCGTAATTCAGATGATTTAAGAATATAACGTCTTTGGATATTTTCATAAACAGATTCGATTTCAACATTATTCAGATTGTTAGCTTTGTCATTTAAGAAAAAACTTAAGGTTTCTTCATAATCTCTATAAGTGAGAATATCAGTAAATTCAGCATATATAGAAAAATAAACGACAATGCGTTCCAATGCTTCTTTGTACGATTGAATACCCATGTCAATATGACCTATTCTCAAGTATACTTTTGCAGTCCATTGATAGTTTAAAGCACTTTGTCCGTATTCACTCGATCCATAATTTAATAGCAAAATACGTTGTAAATTAAATAATTCCAATGATAATTGATAGCATTTATTATTAAAATATTCAATTGCTAATAGTTTATATGCCGTAAATACTGCATTACTATTATGTTTAATCATATAGTCAAAACTAATATTTATAAACATTTTGCTTTGTTCCATGTTCGTATCAAAATTAGTATTGTCTGTAAATACGGTACATATTCTTGAATATGTTATTTCTTCGTCAAAATCATCAATATTGGAAGAATTTTCAATGAAGTTTTCGTAAGTTTTCCATGCTTGATGAACGTCACCTTTCAATTTATAGACAAATGCAATATTGAACAACGGATAATCGTTGAATAAATATGGTACAGGTAGAGAATATTTGAGATAACAGTAAAATTTTGATTTCAATGCTTTTTCATACCAATCCAATGCTACATTGTAATCATTACGTTCTCGATATACATTTCCGATAAAACAGAGAACAAGAGACATTAAATTGAAGTTTTCTTCGAAATTATTTTTAGAAATATCTAAACATTTGTGAAAATATTCCAGTGCTAAGTCATAATTCTTTGAAAACAAAGCTATTAAACCCAATCCAGTGTAACATGCGAAAACATAACGATCAGAAAAGGAAAATTCGTTCAATACTGCAGTAAAATATTGTTCGACTTGAGAACTGCTATTGTGATTATTGTATTCAAACAATGAAAGTCCACATTCTAAAATAGACGCGTGATGACTCTCCTTTTCTTCGAAGAAACTCCATGTTGGTGTTTGTCTGAGTTTTAAATTGATAATCCATAGTAATTTTGTTTGATTGAATTCAACAGACGTTATGTCAAACTCTGCGCCAGCCATAAAGAGAGTTTCTTCTTCTTCTCTAAAACTACTGAGAGAAGTTATATCGGCGAACAATGGATATTTGCAGTCTTTAGTCCAATTTTCAATGCTAATTACAAACAAAACCGATTGTAAAATGTTCTTTGTAGAAGTCTGATTTTGATCGGTGAACATAAGAGCAACCTCACGGTTACGAGAAGTTGATAAAAATGTGTTGAGAGTCACTAAATTCAATTTTTTCAAGTTCTCAATTTCGCTTTTGGTCATCATTTGACCTCGGTAGCAAACAATAGGAAAATCACTATGAACTTGAAAATATTTCCAATTTTCACATTCAATTTGGTTCCATAGATCAATAATGAAAAAACGGAATAGGAAGATTATTTCATAATTTTGTAAACGTAATGCTTTGTTAAGGATACGAAAAATAAAACTATCTTTCGTGTACCAGAGTATAACATCATTTGGTATGTATTTTTCTTCGAAATCCAAAATCTTTTTCATTTCCGAGGCATTGTCTTTGTAATAACTTTTCACATAGTTAATCAATTTTTCTTTTCCTCGATTACGATTAATAGGATGATCTAATAAAAGACGCACAAAAGGATGTAAGCCATATTGAAACGCTTTTCCGATCACTGTACGCTCAATTTCTGGTTTTTTGAATAAGAATTCTGTATCATCAGCCAGGGTTTTTACTAAACGACTGCGATTGAGTATTAAATATTGAATTAGTTCATTTGAATCGATAAATAATCCTCCGAGCTGAAGTAAATAGAGAAATACTACATCTGTTTCAGTTTTGGTAGAAATCACTCTAATGATACAGTTATAATCGAAACAAATCTGTCCGAGAAATTTTTTTCTTCCAGTGACAAAATAAAGTTAAGTGATGCATTTCATATTTACATGAACTATTATAATCACATAATGCAGCGAGAAAAGCTCTATAACCTACAAAGAATGCATTTTGTGATATATTATGTAGAAATGAAATATACTATTGAGGTTTTATTTTTGTTACTGGGAAACATAAGTTGCGCTCGAAACTTTGCTTAATAGATGTAATTTCACTACTGTTTCGTGCATTTTTATCGACATTCAATAAATAGGAAAATGACGGATTTGGTGGAAAATATTTTCTTACTTTTGTACAATTCTTTTCTATCCAGTCTTCTTTGATTTTTGTTTTCGATTGATTATAAACATAAATAGCGTGTAATTGTTGCAAATCATGAATATTGGAAATGATTGATGTTACTAGAAGACTCGAAACTATGAAAATAATACCTTCATATTTGATTTGTCGCATATATTCTTCACATTTTGTCGGATTATCAAATAGTTCAACATAATCAATAATATCTTTTACTTTTTTTTCCAATTGCCGAACAGCTTCGAGATCAGGATCCAGTAGCACGGCTGTAATTGATTCCAAATTTACTACACGACTTCGTTCAGTGAAGATAGTCTTTCCAATTTCATTCTCTCTTTCCAATTGTTCTACTGATTGTAACCGATAATCAATCACGTTAGTTTCAACATCGTCAAGACCTTTTTTATCACAGGATTGCATCATAAACAGTTTATCTGATTCTTTTTTTATCTATAAATCACAACTTAAAAGTAAAAGTGTCATTCGAAGTGGGTGAGAGTGAGGATGTAATTACTGAAGACTAGACGCAACTCGATTCATGTTGTAAAAGAATGAAGTATTGAAAACTAACTGCATCATCTTTAGTATCAAGCAACATTATACTGTTGTTACCACCTGTCTTTTTTTAAATGATCCTTATCGACTCTCATGTAAGTATATTGTTACATTTGTTTTTTTCCCTGTTGATAATAGCGAACCAGCATGTTATCATTTTTCCTCACTTACCAACATAGTAACGACAACGTTCTAGGAGAATTTTACCTAGTGTGCAAAAAGAAGAGTTTTATATAAAATTTTTTCCATTTATTCGATAACAATTTCAAAATACGAGATCTTGAGTGTTTTCATTTTGTTCGATGAAGAGAGAACTACGTAGGATGTGTTTCATATCCCAAACTAAACGAACTTCCTCTTAAGAATATAGAAAGAAATATACTATCTAAGGTGATAGTAAATTCATAATATCATTCACGGGCAAAATCCTAAGGTTTTTTCCCGTTAATATGCATTCATCTTCAGCGCGATATGGCATAGTTTTGTGATCAAATACAAACGTTTTTACCAGATTACGTTCTACTATGCAATTAGATTTAGTTACAGTTAAATCTACAGAAACAATGCTCACGTATATTTCGTGTGTTGTTCCACTTATTTCGTTCATTCGATAACACGATTTGAGTCTGTTATCTATTTGTGAGCACCTAACCAGCTTCATCCATGAATTTACGCGTTAATTGAACATTTCATTCCTTATATTGTTAATACTGATTCAACAAAAAACTAAGCCCAAGCTATATCTGCCTTTGTTCATCCCCAAATCACAAACTTCTTTTTTGTACTTTTGACAGAAATTAATATCAAAGACAGTTTGCTTGTTGTTATGCTAAAATTTCTGATGATCCGTATGGGCAAATTGTACAGAAGAAGATTGATAGTATCAGCGTGAAGCTAGGACGATGAAACAAATGTTTAATTAGAATATTCTTTACTGAAGAGATCTTGTGCATAAAAACTATGACAACATGTTGTGTGTTTACTCAATCAAATTAAAACGAATCATCTAATTTCATACCACGTAACTGTGCACGTAAACAATAAAGCATACATTAATGCCTTGCTTTTTGTTTCTCTTCCGATAAAAACCAGATCGTCACGAGGAGCAATAAGTATATACATATATATAAAAACGAATTTTTCTCGCTGTATTTTGATGACAGCATTTGGAAAGCATGCTACCCATGTAACTCTGAAACGCAAAAAAAACGCGTTTGGACGCGTTTGGTGTTTCACATAGTGTAGTGCCGCGTCTAGACGCATCCTATGAACGCGTCCGAACGCGATAGAATTATCAAACGTGGTCAGACGCATCCTATGCACGCATCTGAACGCGGTAGAACCTAAGAACCGCGGCCAGACACATTCTATAAACGCGCCCGAACGCGATANATTCAAGTTCCCCGACCTCGATTACCCTATCGGTAATCATTTTCTAGCAACTATCGATCAATTTCATTGATTTTAGAAATGCTGATTTCTGATTGGATAGGACAGACGGACAGACGGACAGACAGACAGACAGACAGACAGACAAACTTTAAGCTTTTTAACACAGCATTTAAACGCTGTATAACCCTTTCTTTCAGAAAAGGGAATAATGGCATACATTATATAGATATCATTATATAGAAATTTGAATTATATTGTAATTCATTTCCGGCATGGACTCCTCTCGAATGACCAACTCTAGAAGAACAATATTTGCTAATAAGAAATCGGACGTTAGAGCCGTAGTTTGTTTCGAGTGTGTCTTGTTCATAAAAATATACATTTCCAAAGAAAAACCTTTAGGGTCAATAATGAATCAATTCCATCTTTACTCCTTCAGTCGAGGATTACCCGAGTCTGCCTTGACGAGCGTTACTAGTGTTATGTGCAGCGTACAACAGTGTTAAAGATTCACCTGATTGGATGTACCAAAAGAAAACATTTCGTTGCAAATATCGAACATAACAAATTTCATCAATCTTGTTTTCGTTGATCTTTGTGAATCATGAATTCAATACAAAAAAGTGTAAAATATTTGATCACAATGCTAGCTGCATATTATTGAAATAAACTTCGTTGTTCCTTTCAACTATTGATTGTTTTTTGTTCTCACAATTACACGCAAAAAGAGTATTAATAGCGATGATGCTACTATACTGCTTATATTCATCGGTCATCACAATACAATCGGACCCACTTTTTTCAAAATTGTATAACATGTGTTTTTGCATATTAATTATGTCACCAGCAAGACCAGCCTTAATTGATATTTTTTCATGATTGTTTTCTCGCATGTATTGCGCTTTCAATATGAAATGACACGTGTACGATTGAGTTATAGATTTTCAAAAAAGAATCGTTAATTTTTTGGAAAATGAAGAGGGTTTGCCGATGTTATCTGACATAATTTATAATTTACTTAAGATTTTTGAAGGATTTATTACTTTAGAATTCAGGAATATCGATTTGCTCTGATTATATAGGCTTTATTCGTTTTCTTTCTTATGTAGACATGACGATCACCGACACGGTTCATTGTCTCTTCATTTATATTAAATTGGAAGCATATATAACGAAAAAAAATTACATTTTTTTCATAACCCAACCCATTTTTTGTTTTCACAGTACTACTGTAAAACATCGATCAAGTACAATTATGTCGTATAGGTATAAACTTTTGTAGAAATTGTTTTAAAAAAAGAACCGAAAATGTTTATTTTAGATTCTATTATCATTCAGTGCAACAACGAGTCTTCGTAGATCATAAACGATCTCCAAGGATAGTGCCAATTAGAGGACAANTTCTACTGATTGTAAACCATAATCACTCACGTTAGTTTCAACATCGTCAAGACCTTTTTATCACAGGATTGCATCATAAACAATTTATCTGATTCTTTTTTTTTATCTATAAATCACAACTTAAAAGTTAAAGTATCATTCGAAGTGGGTGAGAGTGAGGATGTAATTACTGAAGACTAGACGCAACTCGATTCATGTTGTAAAAGAATGAAGTATTGAAAACTAACCGTGTCATCTTTAATATCAAGAAACATTATACTGTTGTTACCACGTATCTTTTTTAAAATGATCCTTATCGACTCTCATAGAAGTATATTGTTACATTTGTTTTTTTTTTCTGTTGATAATAGCGAACCAGCATGTTATCATTTTCCCTCACTTACCAACATAGTAATGACAACGTTCTAGGAGAATTTTACCTAGTGTGCAAAAAGAAGAGTTTTATAGAAAAATGTTTCCCATTTATTCGATAACAATTTCAAAATACGAGATCTTGAGTTTTGTTTAATTTTGTTCGACGAAGAGAGAACTAGGATGTGTTTCATATCCCAAACTAAATGAACTTTCTCTTAAGAATACAGAAAGAAATATACTATCTAAAGTGATAGTAAATTCATAATATCATGCACGGACAAAATCCTAAGGTTTTTTCCCGTTAATATGTATTCATCTTCGGCGCGATGCGACATAGTTTTGTGATTAAACACAAACGTTTTTATCAGATTACATTCTACTATATACCTACATTTAGTTACAGTTAAATCTACAGAAACAATGCTCACATAGTTCGTTCATTTGATAACACGATTTGAGTCTGTTATCTATTTGTGAGCACCTAACCAGCTTCATCCATAAATTTACGCGTTAATTGAAGATTTCATTCGTTATACTGTTAATATTGATTCAACAAAAAACTAAACCCAAGTTACATCTACCTCTGTTCATCTACAAATCACAAACTTCTTTTTTGTACTTTCTAAGGAAATTAATATCAAAGACAGATTGCTTGCTACTGTGCTAAAATTTCTGGTGATCCTCATGGACAAATCGTACAGAAGAAGATTGGTAATATCGGCGTGAAGCTAGGACGATGAAACAAAGGGTTAAGTAGAATATTCTTTGCTGAAGAGATCTTGTGCATAAAAACTACAACGACATGTTGTGTGTCTACTCAATCAAATTAAAATGAATCATCTAATTTCATACCACGTAACTATGTACGTAAACAATAAAGCATACATTACCGTTTTGTTTTTTGTTTCTCTTCCGATAAAAACCAGATCGTCGCGAGGAGCAATAAGTATATACATATATAAAAGCGGATTTTTCTCGCTGTATTTTGATGATAGCAGTTGGAAAACATGCTAGACTTACGATTGATATCATTCTTCGGTCTTATCCAACTGCATGTAGAAATAGTTATAGTAATACAGATTTTTATTCGCTTACTTATATTTTCTAAGGTGGAATATTCAGAAAGGATATCAGATACAACTCCAACGAAAGTTTTGATAAGTTGCACGAGAATATCCAGTTTAGAAGTAGGCATCATCTATTAGAACAAAAAAGAAGTTGAAATAATTGTTCTAGAAGGACGAAATCGAACAGATGGTCGAATAATCCTATCTGAGATACTACTCCATAAGAGAAAAGTTCTCTGTGTTCTCAAGGAGAACGCAGTTTCCTTGGAATTTAGTCAAATATAACTAGCAAATCTTCTATTGATTTTGAAAATTAATATAAAGAATATTAAGAGTTTGTACGTAAAAAGACACGATCTGCATCGTCGACTATTTCCTTTATTGAACAAAAGCAACTCAGTTCAATAAACTATGTTGACAAACCTGTCATTTGTGATACAGGTTGTCAACCAATATCTGACCATTTAACAAGAAAACTTCAAAATATTCGTTTAGATGAAATTCTACAAAAATTAATTATACCAACGATGTTATTAACGTGTTAATAACCAATGGAAAATTATGTTCTCGTAACAGGTCCATGACGAGTATTAAAATTAAAAGAAATTCAACTTTATCCATCACGTCCACAATGGGAATTAGATGCAATGGATCGCATCAGTTACGGTTATTATGAAAAGATCTGTTTGATTTGGAATCAACCTTGGATGAAAAATGTTCTCGTGGCTTATATTCTTATATTTTTTTGTTATTCAACACTAGGAAGATCTTTTTCATGTGTCTTCGCCAGTTGAGAATCGTTGATTATTTGCAGCTGAAGCAACAAATACGGCTAATTATGTTTATAATCTGTTACCAGATAAAACATGAGAAATGTTTGATCTATCGAGACGATTTATTTTCATTTGAATTTGACGGTGACAGCGAGAGGTAACATGCCGCTTACTAATCAATTACAAAACTTGCATTGCGTAATTATCTTTTATCATGTCATTCGACTACTGTAGACCTCTAGAATGAAGCATATTTTGAGAGGATGTCGAATGCATATCGTCATACAAACTGAACGCTGAATGGTGGACCATAAAATACCTTTCATAAAAATCCATCAATTCACCTATATAAGAAGATTACCAAGAACTCTTTTTCTATATTATAGTGTATTTTGATAAATATGATCGATACTAATGAACATTCATCGATTATTTACCGTTCAATTAAACATGATGAACACGATCAAGCTTTACATTTATGGTATTCTGTATTTGAAGAAGCTAAACCAGGATGTTTTGAGCGTGATTTTACAAATGAAGGATCGCCTACAAGAGAAGAAGATGATACAATTGGTGCATGGCATAATGGAAAACTAGTAAGTGCTATACATATTCGTCGTGTTCAATTACAATCTCGCGATGAGAATAATGTGAAATATTTGTGTGGTGGAATGTCGAATGTTGCTACTTTACCAGATTATCGAAATCAAGGTATTTCACGTAATCTTCTTCGTATGGGTATTAAACACATGGAAAAAGAGAATAAATTCGATTTATCAATATTAGGTACTGGAATATGTAAACATTATTCTGTTCTTGGTTGGGAACAAATGAATGTACCAACTCTTATGACAATTGAATGGAAAAATTTTGATAAAAGAATAGATAATATTCACTGGTATGCAACATCTGAAATTATTCACAGAGAAAAACAACTTTTACTCGATCTTTACACGAAAAGTCCACGAGAATATCAATTTGACCGATCACCTTCAACTTTTCTTGAACATTTCGTAGGATGGAACTGGCAACTAGAAAAAGATATTATCTACATTTGTCGTGACAATCAATTAGGTTATATTGTAATTGGAAAAGCAGAAGACATTGACAATATCTACATATCGGAATGGAGAGCACCAAATGTTGAAGTTGAACAAAAGTTATTCAGTGTTGCTGTACAAGAAATTCAACGTCGACAGAAACAACAAACGAATAATATACGCGTACATGGCTTACCTCAACATATGACACTAAACGAATTTGAACAATGGGCTGGCAAAATTAACATAGAATATGAAAACGATATGATGATACGTAATGTTCAACTTCCTCATGAAATATTTGAAAAAATTAAAGTCGCTTATTCGAAAGGATCAGCTACTTTTTGGCAAGGTGATATGTTTTAACTTTTTTATGTCAACGAAATAAATGGATGAATGTTTGTTATTTAATTTTACAATATAATCTTGAGGGCGAGGATTGCGCGTTGGTATCGGTGTACACGAGTTTTGTTTTCCTCATTCCCTCTCACAGTAATCGATTCACGACATCTACTGTATATCTGACGAACCAGATGAAACTATTCGTTGGTACAAAGATTAAATTTAACACTTGATGGCCTCTTCATTTGAACTGAATGACCTTGGAAAAATCGAATCGGCAAACAAAAGACTTTTGTTCTCAACCTTTTCCTTTCCAGAGTTTATCGACAGATTTCTCGTTGAAATACTGAGATTATTCAAGATAAATATCATCAAGTATCTCTTTCTACCTGTGTATCAATGCTCTTTGATAAAGGATTCAGTTAGAGAGGAGACAACGAAGATAAATATCGAATAGAAGAGAATTGTAAAAGAATGATGAAAATGAAAGATACATTATGTCTTTCGCTTCTTTTTTACATTGTAAATATTCACTGCAAAGATCTTTGGAAATTAAATTTAACAACTTTAGAAGACAATTCGTTATTTCTCCAATGGCGACCGACTTACCATATTTTATCACCAAATTCTTGGATGAACGATCCATGTGGTCCTTATTACAATCCCAAAACACAAACTTATCATTTGTACTACCAAGTTCAGCCTGGTTTTATTCAATGGGGCAATATTTCCTGGGGTCATCTTAAATCTACGGATATGNAGATTTTTATTTACTTACTTATATTTTCTAAGGTGGAACATTCGGAAAGGATATCAGATACAATTCCAACGAAAGTTTTGATAGTTCGCACGAGATTATCCAGTTTAGAAGTAAGCACATCTATTAGAACAAAAAAGAAGTTGAAATAATTGTTCTAGAAGGACGAAATCGAACAGATGGTCCAATAATCCTATCTGAGATTCTACTCCACAAGAGAATAGTTCTCTGTGTTCTCAAGGAGAACGCAGTTTCCTTGGAATTTAGTCAAATATAATTACTAGCAAATCTTCTATTGATTTTGAAAATTAATATAAAGAATATTAAAAGTTTGTACGTAAAAAGACACGATCTGCATCGTCACGTTCACAGTGGGAATTAGATGCAATGGATCGCATCGATTACGGTTATTATGAAAAGATCTGTTTGATTTGGAATCAACCTTGGATGAAAAATGTTCTCGTTGGCTTATATTCTTATATTTTTTGTTATTCGACACTAGGAAGATCTTTTTCGTTTGTCTGAGCCAGTTGAGAATCGTTGATTATTTGCAGCTGAAGCAACAAGTACGGTTGATTATGTTTATAATCTGTTACCAAATAAAACATGAGAAATGTTTGATCTATCAAGACGATTTATTTTCATTTGAATTTGACAGTGACGGCGAGAGGTAACACACCGCTTACTAATCAACTACAAAACTTTCATTGCGTAATTATCTTTTATCATGTCATTCGACTACTGTAGACCTCTAGGATGAAGCGTATTTTGAGAGGATGTCGAGTGCATATCGTCATACAAACCGAACGCCGGATGGTGGACTATAAAATACCTTTCATAAAAATCCATCAATTCATTCTATATAAGAAGATTAGCAAGAACTCTTTTTCTATATGTATTATAGTGCATTTTGATAAATATGGTCGATACTAATGAAGATTCATCGATTATTTACCGTTCAATTAAACAGGATGAACACGATCAAGCTTTAAATTTATGGTATTCTGTATTTGAAGAAGCTAAACCGGGATGTTTTGAGCGTGATTTTACAAATGAAGGATCGCCTACAAGAGAAGAAGATGATACAATTGGTGCATGGCATAATGGAAAACTAGTCAGTGCTATACATATTCGTCGTGTTCAATTACAATCTCGCGATGAGAATAACGTGAAATATCTGTGTGGTGGTATGTCGAATGTTGCTACTTTACCAGATTATCGAAATCAAGGTATTTCACGTAATCTTCTTCGTATGGGTATTAAACAGATGGAAAAAGAGAATAAATTCGATTTATCAATATTAGGTACTGGAATATGTAAACATTATTCTGTTCTTGGTTGGGAACAAATGAATGTACCAACTGTTATGATAATTGAATGGAAAAATTTTGACAAAATAATAGATAATACTCAATGGTATGCAACATCTGAAATTATTCATAGAGAAAAACAACTTTTACTCGATATTTACACGAAAAGTCCACGAGAATATCAATTTGATCGATCATCTTCAACTTTTCTTGAACATTTCGTAGGATGGAACTGGCAACTAGAAAAAGATATTATCTACATTTATCGTGAAAATCAATTAGGTTATATTGTAATTGGAAAAGCAGAAGACATTGACAATATCTACATATCGGAATGGAGAGCACCAAATGTTGATGTTGAACAAAAGCTATTCAGTGTTGCTGTACAAGAAATTCAACGTCGACAAAAACAACAAACGAATAATATACGTGTACACGGTTTACCTCAACACATGACACTAAACGAATTCGAACAATGGGCTGGCAAAATTAACATAGAATATGAGAACGATATGATGATACGTAATGTTCAACTTCCCCATGAAATATTTGAAAAAATGAAATTCGCTTACTCGAACGGATCAGCTACTTTTTGGCAAGGTGATATGTTTTAACTTTTTTATGTCAACAAAATGAATGAATAATTGTTTATTATTTAATTTTACAATTTAATCTTGAGGACGAGGATTGAGCGTTGCTTTGCTCATTCCCCCTCACGGTAATCGATTCACGGCATCTACTGTATATCTGACGAATCAGATGAAACTATTCGCTGGAACAAGGATAAAATTTAACACTTGGTGGTCTATTCATGTGAACTGAATGACCTTGGAAGAATCGAATCGGCAAACAAAGGACTTTTGTTCTCAACCTTTTTCTTTCTATAGTTTATCGACAGATTTCTCGTTGAAATACTGAGATTATTCAAGATAAATGTCATCAAGTATCTCTTTCTACCTGTATCAATGCTCTTTGATAAAGGATTGAAGTTAGAAAGGAGGCAACGAAGATAAATATCGACTAGAAGAGAATTGAAAAAGAATGCTGAAAATGAAAGATACGATATGTCTTTCGCTTCTTTTTTACATCGTAAATATTCACTGCGAAGATCTTTGGAAATTAAATTTAACAACTTTAGAAGACAATTCGTTATTTCTCCAATGGCGACCGACTTACCATATTTTATCACCAAATTCTTGGATGAACGATCCATGTGGTCCTTATTACAATCCCAAAACNCGACTAGAAGAGAATTGAAAAAGAATGCTGAAAATGAAAGATACGATATGTCTTTCGCTTCTTTTTTACATCGTAAATATTCACTGCGAAGATCTTTGGAAATTAAATTTAACAACTTTAGAAGACAATTCGTTATTTCTCCAATGGCGACCGACTTACCATATTTTATCACCAAATTCTTGGATGAACGATCCATGTGGTCCTTATTACAATCCCAAAACGCACACCTATCATTTGTTTTATCAAGTTCAGCCTGGTTTCATTCAATGGGGTAATATTTCCTGGGGTCATCTTAAATCCACCGATATGATCTTTTGGGAAGATGTCACTGCCTGGACGAACGAAGATTATCTGACATTTACACCCGGCCAGGGAAATAATGAAAGTCGCATGGGTGTTTTTACCGGCTCTGCTCTACCTGTTTCGCCAACCGGTGATGAGACCAGTGGAATTGTCACAGTAATTTATACAAGCGTGAAATTCTTACCGATTAGCTGGAATGGATTTTATCAAACAGGAAGTGAAACACAATCGTTGGCAGTTTCATTCGATGATGGAATAACATTTGAACATTATGATAAGAATCCAATTGTTGTTTCACCACCCTCAGGGTGGAATGTCACTGGCTGGAGAGACCCAAAGTTTGAAAAATCCAAGGAAATTGATTTGTTTCTTTATGGAACGAATCAAGAGAACTATTATATGACGATTTCATCGGGAATTCGTGGTGTTGGTCCGAGATTGTTGCTGTACCAATCATCATCAACAAATTTAACTCATTGGACATATTTAGGTTCACTCTTATCTGTTCCAGGTAATTTTACGTTTAATCAAGAGTGGTCAGGATCATTTGGATTTAATTTCGAAGTGGCAAATTGCTTTTCTCTTCGGGAAAAATTTGAGGATGGTGGAGATAATGAAACCATTCATATGTTTACCGCTATTGGAACCGAAGGAGGAAATACAAGTTTACATCAATCAACGCATTGGTCGATTTGGATTGAAGGAAATCTAAGAAAACCAATTGACATGGACATTCTTGCGAGCGGAGTGATGGACTGGGGTGATGCGTACGCGTTTAATTCATTCTATGATCCGGTTTATGATCGAAGAATCTTCTATGGGTGGGTGAGAGAAAGTCATCGAAGTTATGGAGAGAGAGCGTTCGGTTACAACGGACAGATAACTTTACCCAGAGAAGTTTTCATTCAGGTGATTTCAAATGTTGTTCACATCAATGAATCTCTGAATGCTTCTTGGACATTAACATCGAATCAGGATNGGGGTGATGCGTACGCGTTTAATTCATTCTATGATCCGGTTTATGATCGAAGAATCTTCTATGGGTGGGTGAGAGAAAGTCATCGAAGTTATGGAGAGAGAGCGTTCGGTTACAACGGACAAATAACTTTACCCAGAGAAGTTTTCATTCAGGTGATTTCAAATGTTGTTCACATCAATGAATCTCTGAATGCTTCTTGGACATTAACGTCGAATCAGGATGGAACATTCACATTTAAAACGCTCGGAATTCGACCAATAGATGAAATTGTTAACTTAAGAAAAACAAATGAATTTATTCGTAAACAATCTCAAGAATTTCATCAACCAATCGATTATTTACCAATGAATGTGACATCATTGAGTTTTGAATTAAAAGGCAACATAAATATTTCATTGAATTCCACCGCTGGTTTTGTTTTTCGACGATCAACAAATAGTTTAGAATATACAACACTTTATTACAATCCATTAAATGAATATTTGATTCTTAATCGAACATCTTCTTCGTTGATTAAACAATTTGATAATCAAACAATTTATGCCAAACATCTTTTACTTACCAGACAGATTTCAAAAAATTTCGTTGAAAAAGAACTTCTTTCTTTGCATATTTTTCTTGATAATTCACTTTTAGAAGTTTATGCGAATAATCGCACAGTCATTTCTACTCATATTTATCCATCACTATCGGATTCACTCGAACTGGGATATTTTGTTGGAGGAACCGATGGAACTGTTCAATTTAGTGATGTTTCAATTTGGTTCAACTTACAAAATGCATTTCCATTAAGACCACTGAATACTTCGACTCATTTAGTTAATCCTACAGTGAACAATGCTGCTATCCACTCCTTTCAACTTTCTGTATTTTTGTTTCTCTCTTGTCTTTTTCATAGTTTATAAATCGTCCACGAAAAATCTGCGAATTATTCAGGAACCCGACTATCAAGTTCAACTGATTGAACCACTATCGCCGCCGTTTTTCTTGAGTCTTCGTCCTGCCGTTTGTATGTAACACGAGTGAATGAAACCATCAGAATAGAGACAGCAATGACAATAAGAACGAGTAGATTAATTAGTTTGTATTGTTGTGAGGCAACGAAAAGTAAAATAACACAGGCGATGTTGTTCCATTGAACAAGAATCGATGCAGAAAGGGATTCAGGTAGTGGAAACATAATCTCGGCTGAAGTTTCGTAAACTAATGGTGATGATGCACCTTGAAATAAGCCAGCAAACGAAAGAGAAAATCCAATAAGAATCGAGGCTGAACTGATAAGTGGTTTGTCTGAGAAAACCGTCCGAACACAGAATTGAAAGCAAAGAACTGACACGAAACAGCCGATAAAACAAATAAGCATGAACGATTTCAACGAACGTCGAAAACGAGGTCGATCAACCAGAGCACTTAGACATAAAGCACCAATAATCCCTGCTAATGATGCAGCAAAGCCAAACCAACCTAGACACGATGAAATATACTTTATTATACGAACTACAAAAAAAAAAACAATTACCAGCTTGTGTTTCGGAATAATGTTCAGGAGCGAGAATACTTGAAAATAAGCTTGTCCATACAGCACATGTTCCGCTGAGGCNAATACAAGTTTACATCAATCAACGCATTGGTCGATTTGGATTGAAGGAAATCTAAGAAAACCAATTGACATGGACATTCTTGCGAGCGGAGTGATGGACTGGGGTGATGCGTACGCGTTTAATTCATTCTATGATCCGGTTTATGATCGAAGAATCTTCTATGGGTGGGTGAGAGAAAGTCATCGAAGTTATGGAGAGAGAGCGTTCGGTTACAACGGACAGATAACTTTACCCAGAGAAGTTTTCATTCAGGTGATTTCAAATGTTGTTCACATCAATGAATCTCTGAATGCTTCTTGGACATTAACATCGAATCAGGATGAAACATTCACATTTAAAACGCTCGGAATTCGACCAATAGATGAAATTGTTAACTTAAGAAAAACAAATGAATTCATTCGTAAACAATCTCAAAAATTCCATCAACGAATCGATTATTTACACATGAATGTGACATCATTGAATTTTGAATTAAAAGGTAACATAAATATTTCATTGAATTCCACCGCTGGTTTTGTTTTTCGACGATCAACAAATGGCTTAGAATATACAACACTTTATTACAATTCATCAAATGAATATTTGATTCTTAATCGAACATCTTCTTCGTTGATTAAACAATTTGATGATCAAACAATTTATGCCAAACATCTTTTACTTACCAGACAGATTTCAACAAATTTCGTTGAAAAAGAACTTCTGTCTTTGCATATTTTTCTTGATAATTCACTTTTAGAAGTTTATGTGAATAATCGAACAGTCATTTCTACTCATATTTATCCATCACTATCGGATTCACTCGAACTGGGATATTTTGTTGGAGGAACCGATGGAACTGTTGAATTTAGTGATGTTTCAATTTGGTTCAACTTACAAAATGCATTTTCATTAAGACCATTGAATACTTCGACTCATTTAGTTAATCCTTCAGTGAACAATGCTGCTATCCACTCCTTTCAACTTTCTGTATTTTTGTTTCTGTTTTATCTTTTCCATAGTTTATAAATCGTCCACGAAGAATCTGCGAACTATTCAGGAACCTGACTATCAAGGTCAAATGATTGTACCGCTATCGCCGCCGTTTTTCTTGAGTCTTCGTCTTGCCGTTTGTATGTAACACGAGCGAATGAAATCATCAGAATGGCGACAGCAATAACAATAAGAACGAGTAGATTAACTAATTTGTATTTTTGTGAAGCAACAAAAAGTAAAATAACACAGGCGATGTTGTTCCATTGAACAAGAATCGATGCAGAAAGGGATTCAGGTAGTGGAAACATAATCTCGGCTGCACTTTCGTAAACTAATGGTGATGATGCACCTTGAAATAAGCCAGCAAACGAAAGAGAAAATCCAATAAGAATCGAGGCTGAACTGACAAGTGGTTTGTCTGAGAAAACCGTCCGAACACAGAATTGAAAGCAAAGAACTGACAGGAAACAACCGATAAAACAAATAAGCATGAACAATTTCAACGAACGTCGAAAACGAGGTCGATCAACCAGAGCACTTAGACATAAAGCACCAAGAATCCCTGCTAATGATGCAGCAAAGCCAAACCAACCTACACATGATGAAATATACTTTCTTATACGGACTACAAAAAATACAAACGAATTACCAGCTTGTGTTTCGGAATAATGTTCAGGAGCGAGAATGCTCGAAAATAAGCTTGTCCATACGGCAAATGTTCCGCTGAGAACTCCACCCGCTGTTGAAAGTAAGACGAACGATAGATTTGTCATACATTGTATAAACCCATCTTTATACGCTTTTAAACTCGATATTTCACTGTTTTCATTCATCAGAAGTTCACCTGCAGCCGATGGAGGAGTTGGAGGTTGAGAAGGAAAATGAATAATTGCTAGAAGTCCAGCAAGAGAAGCTAACCCAAGATGAAAATAGAGCAAATGAGGAATTTTTGAAGGATGAGAAACAATTGCCGGATTGATTAGAAAACTAATTGTTCCACCGAATATATTCGCCATGATTGCCATTGTTGTTGCTCGGGTTCGTTCGTTCGGCGAAAACCATAAACATGACAGTTGAGAAACAGGAGCCATGACAAGTGGACCACATGCGGCATTGATTATTTGACCAGCGTGAATAAATGGTAAAGATATCGATTTAAAATGTGGACTCGATGGTGAGGTTACCAGTGAGGGAATTATGCGGAGGAACGTGGCGAGAAAGCAGGCGATCGAGAGAATAAGTACAGTGTATCGAAGGCCATTTTTGCGATTTAATAGAAGATATACGAAGGGAAGACATGGAATGAAGATAATTGGACCCCAGTTGAGAAGAAGATCAACAGTTGCCGATGGAATTCCATAATATGTTTGAGTACTTGGAGATATTGGAGAAAATGTTAACCAAAATGCACATTGATTGAATGCTAGGAACGAGAAGACACCCAGAATATAAAAACGTTGTCGATATGCAACATAAACGTTCGAATTTAACGATGGAGGAAAGACAACTGCAGAGGCACTCATTTTAAATTTATTGTAACACAAAAATTGTTTTATTTTTCGTCACACGTCTGCACTTTTATATATCAGCAAAGAGAAAGATAAAGTGCATTGTATGATAAATAACGAAAAGTCACGTTTTCTTCCTAAATCAACACTAGTGATCAAAAACCTTCTAACTGGTGTGGATGAGGGGCAAAGGTGACGAAGATATATTTTCCTATTCGATACCTTCGCCACCCTCAAAGACAGAAAAACATTCGATCCACTCGAAATCACACACTTATTTCTCAATGTTTGTCTGCTTTCATAATAACATTTAAAAGAACTAGCACAAGCCATTACGCGAAAATCAGATTTGACACCGTTTGACGGAAGATACCATTTTACGAAAGATCTTTGCAGAAAAAGTTTTGTAAGATCCGTTCGATGAAATCTACGGAAACCTTTTTTTTCTAAAGATTATTCATCGTGAACTATCCGAAGAAGATGGTAAAAGTTTGCGATCTCTCATGCAATAGAAGTAGATACAAAAAAAGTTGTTTTTCGATGGTTAACAACTCGTTTGCGTCGCATTTCCTGTCTGCACTATCGACTAGGAATTGACGTTTGTGATTTATGCTCCAAAGTACTCTTCTATTTCCGATCTATGATAGCTATTCACATGTAATTATTAACCTGTGAGATCAGATACGACAAAATAAAATTGAAAAACATTCAAATTAAATTCCGCCATCGATCCACGTCTATGACAAACAATAAATAGGTCACAGAACTGAATAAAAACGACGAGATAATCATATATCAACAATCTGCTAGTTAAAATACATTTGAATCTAAGATGAGACCGATAAGGGAATGTAGATGAATATGAGAATAGTCATTTTTCTCCGTAATGTTCAACGATTGGTTCAGTTTGGCATTTGAATTCGAATATTTATTCAATGAGACTCACAAAGAGAAAATATTCTCGTTCTTTCGTTTGTACTAAAGAAGTTACACAACGTGAGAGTCCAGATCTAAACAACAATCCATAAGGTAGAAATCGATAAAAATACTATTTTTTTCTTACTTCAGGGTCATCCTGTAATATTCATATACAGGCATACAGGTAACTAAGTATCACATAGAGATACGTTCGTAGATATCCAGGTAGATAGGTAATTGTATTTTTCAAAATAACAATGCGGCGATGTATTTTTTTTTTGTTGATCATCGACTATATTTAATCATAAACACTATAATAACGCTCTTCTAGTGCAGAAGCAACTAGATATTTGATATAATATTAAGACTTCGATTCAATAGTGATGAGAAAAGTTAACAATATTACAAAAATATATACAGTATTAGTAATCATTGTTGGTATTGCATCATTGACTTTTTTAATTGTCGGTGTTGCCACAAGAAAGTGGATTGGTATCTCCACTAGTTTATCACCATTACAGACACAAATCAGCCGTGTTTTAAGCAATAGTACTTTCATTACTTCACTTATCATTGCGACAGGAGCAAATCAAACTCAAGTAGCTCAAATAGTATCAGCAACGGCAGAACAAGTCAATCATGAATTAACGTATGCTACTCCTAGTGATGTTACTTATCATCTCTATGGTAAAAATCCGAATACACCACAAACATCAATAAACTTTAAATTACCTCAAGGACTTATTTTTGCTGGAATAGCATTAATCTTTCTTGGGCTTTTATTGACATTAATTGTTATCATATTGGGTTTACCGCCTTTCGTTCGGAATTTACCATTGTTTTTTCTAGGTCTGGGACCAGTTTTGCTTACTATTGGATTCTCTTTTTATCCAAAGATAGTTATTGAAGATTTTGGCCTTGAATTACAACTTTCGATCGATATTGGTTTCAGTATTATACTAGTTATCACTGGAACAATTGTCGGTTATAATACAGCTTCTTTATTTGCTCTCATTGTTCTTCAACCACTTCAAAATCGTCCATCTACAATTCGAAACTTTAACGTTCCACCCAGATCAAGGCTTCGACCTTCATATTCAACTAGAATGAGAAACAAATGGTGATTCTATTACAAGAGAAGCAAAGACTTTATGAATCGAAAAGATCAATCTGTTTTCTAAACATATGTTTGAAATCCTTTTATTAAAATAGTCTTGTGTATTACAACTGTAGCTTTGGAATCAGATAAAAACTTCAGAAGAATTCGAATATAGACATAATCAGTCATACCATATTTCAATCTTTATTTGTTTAAATAATTTCACAAATATATTGAATTATGATATTGATCAACACAATCCTTCGTTTGTCTTTTTAAAACATTTACGCGATACTTTTCTACGTATAATTTATTTACATGTATTATTATCCTCTGTTGTTCTTTTCTTTCGATATAATGCATATCTTTTATATATAATGTTTATAAAAGACGCCCTTCACTGTCTATCTGATGTATGAGACATATGCTTGTTTTTATCTTCAATAACACGTGCAAATAATTTTAATCAGTCCATTATTCGTGTATGTGAATGAAGAAAAGAAAGGAATATCCACGTTAATATAACAACATAGTAAAACATCTCCATTGTAAACATTATCGGGACTATTCAGACTCTGTGTTCATTAGAGAGAGATGTGAATACTTACATATAGAAGCATCTTACATTTACTATACATATCATGTGTGAAGATATGTGTCAGATGAATGTTTCTAACTCTTCGCAGACTTATTATTGTTCTATTATCAGTTTTATCGCGATCATTTCAAAATGTTATTACATTGTCTTATATTAATATAGTATTGTAATGAAAAAGTGAAATTGAAAATAAGCTTGGTTTGTTCATTCTTAGACGGGAGATAAGTATAAGTTCTGGTTTACTTGCTATCCTTATTTTCAGATCTTTGTCTTTCAACGATCGTTAGAAAGACTTCGCTAGGAAACGAATCATATGTGTGGGAATGTTGCATATCGGATAATCTGATTAACTTCCGACTCCCTATTTACAGGTACTAATGAAACCTTCCTATTGGCGTCTTCATGAAGAATGTAGAAAACGAAAGCATGGAAGAAATACATACAAAAAACCTATTTGTTGTAACAGATTTTATGTTAACAACGAAAAAGTGATCGATTAGAAAAATAAATTAGTCAACACTAATGTTTATATTCCTTGTTCATCGAACTTTTAACCGGGAGAAGAAGAATATTTACAATGGAATCTTTTTACAGAATCACACTCTTATTTGAAAAGCATGAAAACATCTTTTGAAAATCAATTGAAAATAATCGTATATAATTAACACTTCGTGCTATGGAGATTTGATTGGGGTAGCTGCATATTATATAGATACAGATTCAAATAGATTTATATATAGCTATACTCACACCCTCGTCAGCATCACTTTAACTACGATTCACATTCTCGCTCTGAAACATATTTCTCCAGATAGATAAAAGTATACCGCAGTTTTCTTTTTGTTATTTAGCTTTGATTGTGAAACGACATGTTTACAAAAGATAAGAGTAAAGATTTATAAATACGCATATTCTCACTTGCGTATATTTCATGAAAATAGGATTTTTATTCGATATTGCATCACCGAAGATCCGAAAACTTCGAATTCACTTCTTTACTGAATTCTAGTACAGAAAATGAGTCAATATTTCTTAATGATTTCGTTAATCATATTTTATTTAACGATGAACGTTTATGTTGCTGGAGAAAATTGGTTGGGCAATTACAAATGGACTTCACGATGTTCTAAAGATGAATGCTGCTGTTTTGTTAATGAACTAACAATTACTCAAGTCAAAGATGATCCTAAAAGATTGTCGATTGTCACTAGTCGCGCTGGTCCCATCTGCCCAGCAAAAACTTATGAAAATGTTATCGACGTTCCAGAAGGTTCTTTTATGGATCAGATAAAACCAAGAACATTGATTTGGGTCATAAATCAAAATAGTACAGCTATCACTGCAGTCGATTATCAATTTATGGAGTGTAATTCAGAAGCAATAAGAATAACAAACCTAAGTAACAAAAATAACATGCACACTCTTTGTTGGATATTTATGGCTCATTTCATTGTACTGATCAAATGGTTTTACAACAGAATTGACAACGTTTGAATGTTTGTTCATAAGTTTTCCTATACATCTATAATTTCTTGAAATAAATGATACGATAAAGGATGAAAATCATTCTGTTAGACCCTAAGAGATGGTTATCTAATGTTGAGAGAATAGTGTTGTTCTAATTGGGCTATAGCAGAATGTCTGAATTTAACTTTCAAGTCTAACACGACTATTTTTACTAGTCATTCGTCTGTTGATACTTAAAAAAGACAAAAATAAATTGTTTTGACTAGTTTTGAGTGAAATCATTCGCTTTCTCATTATTTTTCCTTCCGCACAACTTCTCGTCAGATGGGTCTTCCATCACATGTGTTTTGTTAATTTGGTTTTTTTTTTCAATTAAATGAGAAACATGACAATGACATTTGCATATACACTTCGACAGAGGAAATATTGTCGTTTCTTAAAGATCGTTATTATAGAATATTATTCAATAACGAACTTTTTCCCCTGACATATATGAGCCAGAGCAGGTGACGCCAGCCTCCGCAAAGAATAAAAAAGAGAGTAGGACATTTACAAAAGAGAAATGCTCTAAATAAACGAAACAAAAAACTCGTGATCTACAATTATTTTCCTATATAAACAAAACCTGGAACGAGATAATAGAAATGTTTAAAAAGGCGTTCTTTTTGTAAGATATTTTCAACAATCTTTATATAACTTTTGCTGTAAACGTTTAGGAAAGAAAATACATTGTGTCCATGTCCTACGGTTTTATAGAGATTGAAACCGTACTACCCTACAGATACAGTTGGTAAAATGGCCAAATTCTATGTTCAATGGGTCGTTGAACGTTTATTGAAATTGAATTTATTTGAAAAACAAACGGAAGATGAACATTCAAAACGACATCAGATCATATCGACCAGAGTTTACATTATTGTTCTACCACTACTCCTACTCATTCTAACGTTATTCATATCGATACAATCAGATTTAAACACCATACGAATCAAATCACCAAAAGAAAATGATTATAAAGCATTACAGTTAAAATACCAGACTGGTTTACAATGCCCTTGTAAACAAATCTCGAATACGTATGATCGATTTGTAACGATAATTCCTCAATATCATGAAATATGTTCATCTGACTTTGTTAGTCAGAAGTGGATTGATTATTTATTCTATGAAAACACAAGTTATTTTTTTCAATTAGATTTCCGTCATGATGCATCGGCAAGATTTCAAATTCTTCGTACATTATGTCAACAAGCACAACAATCGGTCAGTGATCATTTAAGTGAATACTATTCATTTGAATTAATAACAAATGAAGTTCTACCAACGGATACTTTTCACATTCAAATGGATTCGTTTGTACAACTTTTTCAGGAAACAACTCCATCACCATTTCAAAATTTATTACAAATCATTCGACAGTCGACAATATCAAATGGTGTTCTTTCAGCAATCGATGCAAGTTTTGCTTATGCCTTTCATCCATCAGGACCTACAACATTTTATTTGGATAATTATCATTACTATGAAGTCGACTCACAACAGAAAAATTTCGATTGTTACTGTGATAATGTCACCGTGTGTGAATTACCTGAGGGTATTTACGGAGATTTAATTCAATATAACTATCCAGGATCAAACTGGATTGGTGATCCAGATGTCAACGCAAATACTGCAGCAATTAATGCAACATTTTTTGTCGATGGATCAGTTGTAAGCTGCAAACCCATTGAATCTTTGATGCGTTCGACAATCGAATGTCTATATGATCAAGTATGTTTAAATCGAATTGGAAAGTATATCAACTATACTTCAGTGTCAATTGATTCGTTTCATATACTAAATCAATCGAATGCCGTTCGAAATCAAACTATTGAAACATTGACAAGTAATTTATTTCTTGAAAATTGGATTATTAACAAATCATATTCAAACTATTTTGATTCATGTCGACCATTATTTTGTCAATATAAAATTGATCAAAAGCAAAGTTTTGTACAGATTCTCACAACTGTTATTAGTTTATATGGAGGTTTAAGAGTTGCTCTCGCATTAATTATTCCCATAATTATCAAGTTTATCATGCGAAGAAGATCAACAGAACATCAAGCATCAAACGGTACTGTATCATCTCTATTGTTCTTTTCTCAAAAGGACATGTCTGTGAGATAATGGAATATTTTCCCTCGCTGCGTAGTATAAGGATTGTTCCATAATAGAGCTTACCAGTTTGAGTTTACTTTTAGTGTCAAGATTGGTTCGATTACATACGGTATGTCGTTCCATGGTCAAGCATCTAACAAAAATGAATATATTCACCGATTATTCAACAGATGAACATGTTCAAAAAAATGGAAGACTTTCGACCAAACTTTATTTCGTTATTTCAACTATTTGTTTGTTTGTCTTTGCAATTCGTCTATCCGTAGAGAAACAAACGCATACGAAATTTATTTATAACCCAACAAAACATCAATTCGAGAGTTTACAAAATCAATCAAACAGCAACTTTGAATGTCCATGTCTTCATATATCAGTCAAATATGGAGATTTCATTCAATTTAATCAAACATATCATCAAATATGTTCAAGTGTTTTTGCATCAACTTTATGGTACGACGCTGATAATCTGTGGAATACATCAGATTCATGTTATTATCCATCATTTCCAAATTTAGCGTCGTTTTATTTTTCACTTATATTGACATTTTGTCAGTCAGCCAATGAGACTATTTCGAATAGTTTGACACAATTTTATGCATCAGAATATATCACGTCTAACATTATTCAAGAAGATCAATTCAACAATGAGATTACATCAATTAGTGAATCATTTCAAATACAACTACAGAACTCGTTTCGACAACAATGGAGTTTATTACAAAGTGTCCTATCAAACAATCAGATTTTTACTGTCAGAAAAACAAATTTTCTTCTAACTGGTAAACTAATTAATGATACAGTGATACCACAATTGTATTTAAAAAACCATAGCAATTGTACTTGTGCAACAAATTCAATATGTTATGAAACAGTGCAATTTTGCATTGGAAATCAACAATATTTTATTAATGGTCTTCGGTTGGGTTGTTATTTAGTTGAATCTTTGTTTTTATCAACAACCGAATGTTTTTATGATCAAACATGTATTGACACTATCAAGTCGTATATAACAAAGTCCGCGCCCATATATTCAAAGTTAAATGTATTAAATAAATCTCTGCCAAGTCGATATAAAACAGATGAATCAATCGAAACGATCATTAAGAATCTCTTCATAGAAAAATGGAATGAATTGTATTCTTATGAGATGTATTTTAATCAATGTCAACCATCGTACTGTTCATACACAATTTCTCAATCGCCAACTTTTATCTACGTATTAGCAAGATTGATTGGCGTTTATGGAGGCTTAACTCTTTTCCTGAAAATTTCTATTCCAAATATCATCGATTTAGTCAAACAGAAAAGAAGACAACATACAGGTATTGCGTCTTTACATCACTGAATTTAACCGTTCACACGGTGTTTTGTTTTTCATTTTTTTAAGCTACATCCATATGGAGTCGAATATGTGTGAACATGATATCAATTAAAAGGAGACTTATTCATTTAAACTTATTTCGTGACCATTCAACTGATGATGAGAAGATTCGAAAACAAATCTTAGCAACAAGATTCTATTCAATAATTTTCATTATTATTTTATTTCTACTAGTTTTATATTCATCGTTTACGAGCCGATCGATAACGGTGAATATTTCTTTATTAAATTTCGACCATTATGAACACTTGCAAAAACAATATTCAGATAGTTTAACGTGCCCATGTAGTCGAATTTCAATTGCATATAATATATTTGTTAATCTGAATATAACTTATCATGAAGTGTGTTCGTCAGATTTTGTTAGTCAACGGTGGTTCGATTATTTATTTGATAGTAGTAGAATAAATGATCGTGATTTTCGTGCTACAGCATCAGCTCAATTTCAATCGCTTGATTCTCTGTGCAAGACAACGCAAGAAGCGGTGAGTGCTGGCTTAACACAATTCTATTCGAATAAACTTATCAGTGGAGATTTAATCCCAAATCAAACATTCCAAAATCGAATCGATTCACTCATCACGATACTTCAAAAGAGCACTTCGCAATCATTTAAACAGACATTGAATATGACTCATGAGATTATACATGGAAATTTTTATATGTCGGGATATCAAACCAATTGGAAATTTACTATTTTAGAACGAGCTAACTTTTCTCCGATCTATACAAATCCTATAACATATAAGTCATGTAGTTGTGGTACGTCGTCGTCATGTTCCCAACCAGTTACAATTGACAGTTCTACTATTCAGGGTTTGCTTATGGGTTGTTATCCAATGCAAACAGTGTTGCAATCATCACTTCAATGTTTTTATAATCAAACATGTTTACAAGTCATTTTATCATATTTCCAAAAATCGTTTGATTACAATGTTTCATTTCAAATACTTTCTCCCAATAGTGTATATGGAACTGATGAAAAAGTTGAACAAATGGTTGATCGACTGTTTATTGATCAGTGGACTATTAATCGTTCCTATGAAAACTATTATGATCAATGTGGTGCAACATTATGCACATATTCTTACATAGAACATTTCAATATATTCTACGTTATTACAACTGTTTTAGGTGTGTACAGCGGCTTAACAATAGTATTGAGACTTCTTGTTCCATATCTTATACATATTGGCTTTCGACTATTGTCCAAACGGCGAATACATGCTGTCGGAACTTTTCATACGTACATTCAGGAGACAAATTAACTGGAAGTACTCTAATTCTATATCTTCATTCGTTCTTTTGCTTTAATTTGAATATGCTTTTTCGTTTTTAATCTCATAAAGAATTCTATTATAGTAAACCTTCTTACAATCAGAAATCTGTCTCTTGCCATAAGGTTGTTGACGAATTTCAGCAGTTAATTTTATCGAAAAATCACCGAAAACCAATATTTTCTTATGCTTAAAAGTTCAAATCCTTATGAAATTAGAAAATTGTGCCCATTACATACTACAAAATCGTTTACTGTTTATATTCGTGATTCATTTAATCGACGTGAACAAATGCATATCTATTTACCGTTAGCTGACGTAAACAAGCACATTTGGATTCTTTCTGTAAGAGAAGTGTGTAATTAAATTGTCGATAATGAAAAACATGCGAAAAATAACTTTATTATACATTTTTGAAGGAAGAAATCATTTAAAAAATATTATTTTATATTTCTCTAAAGCATTTCTTTTATGAAAAACAATATATACTGAGCTTTGAAATGATGTTTTTTTGTTGTAAACTCGTCTATCTAAAACACTTGCATTTTTAGTTATTCTGCCGAAAATTTTTGGTTAAATAGCATGGAAAAGTCTACCAAATAGTTTATCATTTAACATAGAATCATAAGTAGTTTTGTTTGGACCTGATTGACATTTCCTAGCATATTCAACAGCTGCTGTGACGAGACAACGACGATGACAACATATCTTCTCTTCGGTCGAGCAACAAGTTAGAAAAGTTGTCCAGAACAAAAGATTCGTTGCATGAAGAGCACCTAATATCCATGCGAATGAATATTTTTCTTGTTCATTTTCGTACCAACTAACTTTATGCCGTTGAGCATTTTCTCTATAAGTATCCGTAAATGTATTGAGGAAACATAACAAACCCTCATTCGAAGGATTCACTAACATTTGAACATGACAATGAGAAAGAAATGTGCCTGGATCATGTGCAGGTGATCGAATACCAGCCCATTCCCAATCAAGTAATGTCAATGTCGAATCATTTTCATTGATTAAAATATTCGATGACCAAATATCTCCATGTGCAAAAACTCGACCATCAATAATTAAATCGGATATCTCTTGCTGATAGTATTGAGACACAACCGGCCAAAGTTCATCAATATGATGTAAATCATAATTCGCACGAATATTCTCTATTATACCGGGTATTTCAAGGAAATCGGCCTTGTGTGCTTCAACGGTATTAAACATTGGTTTCAAATAGTTGACATACTTTATCGAAGATATTTGCAAATCAATAACAAAATTAGCCAATTGTACACCATATGCATGAATAGTATCCATAATTGATTTATTTAATAAATTATTTGTCGAGATGAACCAATCTTTCATCGTTTCTAATTGACCTTGATCTTCAATAATCAAAATATTATTTTCTTCATCATGAATCCATACACGACTAATTTTCAATGTTTTATGTCGATTGAAAATAGATGAAAGATCATTCATGTTTTTGTCAACTTCATGTGATAGATTGTTATTCAATAACTGAAGAGCTCTTTTTTCGTTCATCTGGCGAATAAGCGGATAGGGAAACTCTGGTCCTAAATGAGCTATATATGGATAAGTAACTTTTGCTATGAGTGACTTCGGTTTTAATTTATGAAATAATATGAGAAAATTATCATTATCATTTAATTTTATTGTTGAAGTATGTTCCAATACATTGTTAAAATGTAAACGATACGTAAAATTCATTAAGCCACCGGGAAGTCGTTCGAATTTCTCGACGTATTCAGTTAAATTATATTGATTGAGAAATTTATTCAATTTCGTATCCATGTTATTCACATTACTAAGCATATTTGTAATTACAACACAACGAAAATCCAAAGTAAATGTTTATTTTGCATTCATTTTTTTTTCTTCCTATTCTTCTTATAAGCAACATGTGATATTTTCGCTCGCTCTTAGAAATATAAGGAAAGAAAAGAAGCGAACGTTATATGTAAACGACAACACACAAAGAGCAAAAAAACCAGATCGATGTATTCATACCATTATATTTTTGAGGGAGAAGATTTCAGGAGGTGTAGGTATAATTAAAAAGGCTCTCTTCTATATATCTACTACCTCCAGTACCAGTTGATGCTTCGAATTCGATTAAATATGACCCACCTTCTTTCATAACATCGCAGAATGCAATTTCTGCTCTAAATGACGTATCTGATATAACAGCGTTAAATAGGACGGATATGAAAGCTACTTTTCTCATCCATGTTCGTCGAAAGGACGTGTGAAACGAAAGAGATCATCGTCAAAAACAACGCGTGCTGACTCAAGTGACGAAGGCAATCCTGATGACTGAAATACAAACACAAAAACGGGTCTATCTCTAGACGATTTTCGGCTGGACGTATCTAATCCGAACTCAAAAGTCTAAAAGAAAACGTAAACAAATTTCATTCGATATTATGGACTTTAACTCTTCCGAAGAAGATGATAAGTTGTAGTTGTACCATTGTTCTATTACTATCTTAAAAGTAATATTCTAGTACTATTTCGGCAGATGTGCCACATAAAAGGCCACCAGATGCACATACAGTCATACAGGATACATTTAAACTAGTTTTTGGTCAAGGGGGAAACAGTAGACTCCAAACGCGTGGAATCCGATAAAATCTTGATCATATTTTTCAAAGTATATTACAAAAATATAGATTATACTGTCTATCGAATCTTTCTGACGAGTGTTATTTTAAAAGGCAATGGTCTAAGTCCTGATTTAGGTGTAAATCTGTACTATTTAGTTTTTGTATTCAACGCTTTTATTTGTTTAGAGATCATCTATAGCGAAGAAAAGGTCTATTTGATAATGCAGTCAGACAAAGCAAAAATGAAAGGAAAAAGACTCATTCTTTTTTATTAGCATGCTGCACTCAAAGTAATCGATCACTTGAAGGCTTGCTCTTCTCAGTACTTAATAGCCAACATGCGCTTTGTTTATGAAGATATTTTACTTCGTCGTTAATTATAACACTAAAATAAGTACCCTCGATATGAGGTTCGACTTGATCCGTAATTCTTATGCCAGTGAAGTCTGTTTTTGTCGCCTATATTGAGTTTTGTTTCTCATTTTCTTCATCTTCATCATTGTCGGCTAACTTGAATTCAATTGCTTGAACACATATTCGCTTAACAGACTTAAATCAAGAATACGTTTGTTCTTCCAACATTCACCATTTCTGAATCGCCTTATCATAAGCTCCAGTGATAAGTTTTTCGATATCTATTTGATCAATTTCATATTGGTTTATCATAACGGCCGCATGACGAACACTTCGATGCTTGTGATGAGCTGGAAAAATAAAATTGTTAACTAAGTCGGTATCTGACTGCATATGTTTGATATCGCTCAATATTGATAATCTTTGAGCACGTCGTAAAAAGTCATGTATTGTAAAGTTTACTATAGTTGGATAAATACCACTTAATGCGCGAGCGTTTCTAAAAAGTGATTCACAAGCTTGCAAGCTAAAGATATCAATGTGAAGTACAGATGGTGGTAGCTTTTTCTCCTTAATGAGTATAATTAAGTATAACAAATTGTGTGCGTTGATTTCCATCGATAAATATGCTGGTCTTGTGATAAAATATTTGCTTTTATTGTTTCTTGTGGTGTATGATGAATTAAATGATGTGCATTTAATCCATGTCAACCATGCTGTGCAAAGGAACACAACAGTCCAAGCAGATCGAAGTCCTGAAATAAAATATTTTTTCTCACAAAGGGTATCTATTAAAAAGCTTTCTGCTGTTAATCAGTTGATGCAACAAATACTCCTACTCACGTTCAGCAACAGTCATTCGCTTCTCCACATAAGTCACAATGATCATTCGAAACATTTGAAGACAAATCAATGTTCCACGAGTATCATTATTTTTAGATAAAATGTTAATAAGATCGTGAAATGCTAATTTCAAACAAGAACTAAAGTTTTGGCGATCTTGAGGGTTAATATCGAATTTTGTCAAGCCATGATCTAATGTAGAGTAATGTTCATTGTTTATGATATCATATAAATGATTAATTGATATGGATTTATTTTCAAGCCACAATGCAGCGCTTGATGATAACAAACGATTGCGCCATTTAGTAACCAGATGTGTTGCATCTTGAAAAAGTAGGAATAGCTGTAGGTGGCGTAGATAAAGTCAGGGCCAAGATGATTCTATTTCAATTTGAAAAGCTTGCGGATGCTGATGAACTTGAAAATGAGGAAGACTTCCAAGAGAACCACTGAGAAAACGCATTGCTCGTAAATACCTGGCATCAGCATCTATAGAAAAAATTTATTGTTGATTAATTACATAAAAAGTGAAAACAATTTTCTTTCCTACCTGTTGAGAATCCGATTATTCTTATGTTCTTTTGTAGACATTGATTGAATATATAACACCATCGTTGTAATATGTCATTTGCCGTAATTGGATTATCAATATCATATGCCGACAGGAGAATAGGACTTGGTATGGTACTTTGATTTGATTCGTAGCTTGGATCGGCTCAATCATATGCACGTTAAGTAATGGAGATCTTTTAGTTGTATCAAACCATGTTTTCAATGTATCAAATGAATCAGTTTGATAATATCCTTAGATAGGCACTCCTCGCTCAACTGGTAAAGGAAACCCTTTGAATATATTTGTTACCGAATCATATTTTATTTTTTCTATCACACCAGTAGCATCTTCCGAAGCAAACGCATATTGAACACCAAGATTATTACAACGCTTTTCAAGTTGGTCAAATCCGAACTCTCCTTCACTAAATTTTGAATCCGAGCTTGACATTAATGCATTCAACATGGCTAAGTTCGGTAAAGAACCTGGCAAATTCAGTCGAATAAATTCATATGTTAATTTTCCACCTATAATATGCAATGACAATGCGAAATTCTTAATTGTAGTGCCATATCGACGATGATTGTTCGACTTTGTCAAATTGCTAATTATTGTGTCAATAAAAATTTGCATAAACTCATATTCATAATTATCATTATGATTTTCAAATCGCTCGAACGAACGAACTAGGCTTTTTAACAATGGATTCTTATCAATAAAACCATATGATAAATCGGTATTTGCGTCATCATTATTAGTTCCTATTTTCTTTTCTTCTTCTTGCTTTAAAAAATCGAGTAAAGAGGTAAAATTATTCATTAATCCAATTTTTACGACAAATTGACCATCATCAAGTTGGAAATATGATCTTTCTCTCAATAATAAGAAATCCGGCTTTGAACATTGCAAACTAAATATTTCGAAAACATTCGAATTCCGAATAAAAGACTGCGTCGACGATATCAACTGGAACTTCAGAATATCAACGAAAGCATAGAAGTCATTGTCTTTTAAAGAAAGAACATTGGTAGTTGTGTTATCTATTTAGGAAGAGTAAATTTTGTTTGAATAGTCTGTCTAAAAAGTAGGAAAAAATTCATTGAAAAAAGGTTGACGATCGATTTCCGATTAACGCTTGCAATTTGTTGTTTTGGAGAATTTTATTCATAAATTTCGATTATGAAACAATAACTGAACCATATGATGCGTTATAGCGTTAGCCGGGAAATTCCATACATTTAAAATACACAACGATTTCCCGGAAATTGAATTTCTGTATAGTCCGTATAGTTCGTGAGGGTGCCACGGAGGGTGATGCAGGGTTTTATCTGAGTGAGGGTGCCGCGGAGGGTGATGTAGGGTTTTAGGGTGAGGGTGAGGGTGAGGGTGAAAGGCTATTATGTCTATACGGACTATACGGCCTATACGGACTATACGGACTATACGGACACGATATCTAAAGCTATAAAGATACTCTGTATCTGAGGTGGCAAAAACCAATTTCCCGGAAAACGCTAAAACACATCAAATCCTATTTATTAACTTTAGAAAATAAAATAGCTATTTTTTTTGTAAAACTAATGGCAAGATAAAACGTTTTTTACTATGAGGTTATAACAAATATGACCCTCACCACAGTCGATGGAACAAATAACGCTCGTCGGGCAGGCTCGCTGAACGTTTGACTGATTTTCTTCCCATTGTACTCTTGTCATCAGAACTTTTTTAAAAATGTATCAACCCACTCATCTAGCAGTCGGCCGTCGGCGCCCCTTCGGTCCGCCACTCCCGACTGCTCGATATTCCTCATAGCATATACACTTTGTCAAATGGTAGGCGCCTTTCTTTCACACCCTTCACACACAATTTAACTGCCTGAACATAATCTATACAAAGAAAGCTTTCAACTGCAGCTTGTCTTTCGTTTACTAGATGCCATCAGAGACTACCAACCCACCGTATCGATAAGGTTATACAACAAAAGCATCTAAGCTATTCAATGCATGATTCAGGTATCCTAGACATATAATTTCCAGCCTTACATCGCGCGATTGCTATCGATCCATTTTATGATTTACCACAATTATCGATCAATCTCAGCTATCTCCGCACGCTATTCGTGAAGTTTATGCCATTTTTTACCTTCAATCATGATAGAAATAGGCACCATTCAAACTAGCTTTTCTCATACGGTTCTCTCTTCGGACAAGAGACCATCTAACTAGTCTTCGTCGTGTCGCCAATACTGTATGGGGTTAGCCAAATTACTGAGTTAGTGAATTTCGAGCTGAGGCCTAAAAGCATATCACGACGCTATAAAATTGTTCTACAGTCGCCCGTTGGCTATATCGAAAAAGCCTTCTATTAAATGCCAAACATTTCGAGGAAAATGTTTTTCTCACCTTTGACCCTTGACACCCCCCCCCTCTCCATCCTCACTCGCCGACCGAGATTTAATCTGATCACCCCTCGCGAACGATGTTTTATCAAGTTTCGAGCACTTTTGAAAAAATGTTTTTTGGCCATTGACCCTCACTTCTCACCTTCACCCACTCACTACACCACTTGGGGAACCTACACTCACCGAACCAACTACTCGCACCCGGACGAAGACCTTCACACCCTCACCCCACACTTTCGCTAGTTTTTGACCTTTGACCCTGACACAAACAGACAGACAAACTATTTGATTTCATATGACCCTCTCTACAGTCGAGAGGAAAAGTTTTTTTCTCAAAAAAGTGGCCCTTTGTTGTAAAAAACTCAAACCAAAAGTTTTCTTGCAAAGCTAATCGCGGATTCGTGATCCTCGACCCCGATTACATAAGGCCGATCATTTCCGTATGGCCATCATCAAGTTTTCTATGAGTTATTGAATGCTGCAATCTGATTGGCTTGGGCAGACAAACTTTAAGCATTTTGAGCCGAGTATTTAACCGCTGTATAACCCTTTCTCTCAGAAAAGGGAATAGAGTTACGAAGATGATTTATTCGTATTTTCTATTTCTTAAGCAGTAATTTATGTTTGACAATAATGTTCATTTAGTAAAGCAGATATTTGAAGGTATTTATAATGAAGTAAGTATTCTTTTTGTCATTATCACAAATTTAGAAGCAGCCAGGAGTAAAGATTTCTCCCTGCTTCTAGACTTTTACTTAGACTTTATAAATGATATCAACTTAATGTTTTGCCTTTTCTTTTTAGGAAAATCTGTTCATATTTAAGCCATTGACACAAAACAGAACATTTCCATTAAACTATTTTTTTCTTTAGTTAGTTTTATTTTATTCTCTAATTCAGCATATCATATTAGCCATATCGCCAACATTGTTTTTACTTTTTCTACATTTATTCAAATAAATTTCATCAAATTTTAAGAATATGTTGTGATTGTTGGTGTAGATCAGAGCTATCGGCCCGGCCTGTCAGGTCAGGTTAGTTATATATTTCGTTTTGGATGTTTTGGCGTAAGAGCAATGATTCTGACTGGTAACTGTAGGGAAAATAACGTTTTGGGAAACACGATCCGAAGGAGTGTTGAAGTGTTTAAGGGTAAAAATTTTAACCCCCCACCCCCCCCCCCCCCCCACAGACCGTGACCGACCAGTAAAAAAGTCATCACAGACAGTGACCGATAGCATCACTGTTTGGGATGCCAATGGTGTCGCGTTTCACATTTTAATCCCGTAGGGATTGCGCTGAAAGCTTTTTCACTTCAAACATCCGATAAGCTCCATAACACATTTTTGTTAAAAAACTGGGTCATTTCTAGTAGAAACTTCGAAATCTTGGTAGTTTTCTTGGAACTCCTTTTTTATACAATAAGCTATAGGAAAATTGTTAGAAAGCGGTATGGAATCCTTGCTAAAGGTAAATGCTTCGCCTTTTAATTGTTTAGAAATGTATAGAAGGAATGCATAAAAGGTTTTGGTGTAAATATTAGCTCCTTTCTATTGAAAACCTCAAATTCTGAGTTTTTATCTAGAAAGGCAGCTTCTATATAGTTCACTATGAACAAAATAGCGGAAACAATTTAAAAGTTGTCAAAGGCGACTTTCTCATAGTTTTCGTCTACTGACAAACGTGTAAACAATTTAAGGACATTTTTTCTGCCTGAATCAACAAAGATATTAGCTTTAGCTCGCATTCATATCTATAAGCAGTTAAACAAGGACTCTTAATATTCAGTGGCTTCTCTCGTCATCTTGTTTGTTTGAAGTCACGTTACTTGTACATAAGATTTGACACCTTAGGAAGTCCATACAGCAAGATCGAGCATTGACCATTTCGACATGTCCATGTCTTACCACTCTGTAGTCTCATTTGAACTCAGTCAGACAACCAAGTCGCATGTCTTCCAACGCATGCGAAGAAAATCAATAGTTTGACATCGCCGAGAGAATTTAGTACGGTTGATAAGACTTGCCACTCTGTTTGAAAAAGCAAAAGATCTTCGAAATAATCGAATATTAATGAAGTTGACGAATCATGGTTGTTCTTATTATATTGATTGAGAGAGAATGATCTAGAGTTCCAAACTTTCAATAGAAAGAATCTAATGTTTTACAGAAAAACGTTGATGTATTCCTTTCATATCTTTTTGAACAACCAACAGGTGAAGAGTGTAGCTTTAAAAAAGATTTCAGATCGTTCCCTAACGATTTTCCTATACCTTATTATATGAGAAAAAAGGAGTTCTCAAAAAAGCCACCACAAGGTGAACATTTTTGCTAGAAACGCCTTACCGTCAGTTTCGTTCAGCACAAATGTTTTGGAGAACATACTGTATGTTCGAAGTGAAAGAAATCTTTCCAGAAAAACTACAACATATATCTCAAGCTGATACTTCTAGTCAATTGAAATTATCCAAACAAACTCTTTATTTCCTTCATCAATCAATTAGTGAACGATCGACTCAAGATATTATAAAAGATTTTCCCAGTTACTCAAACCAAGTGCGCGTAAAGTAATGTGTTTCCTTTTGATTTATTGTATTTAAGAAATTAATTTTTTTCAATTGATATTTGAAGGAGTGAAGCTTTTGATGAACTTTCATCTGTCTTCTGAAGTGCGACGACATGCACCTGATCTTTTAGATAAAACTCATTCAGCATCGTTATTGTTTACAGGTAAATATAAAGATTAATATAAATGAAGAAGCATTTTTTGACGATAGAATCATCTGCAATTAAATTGATAAAATGCTTATGCAAAGAGTTTCGCGAATCGATCCAGCATGCATTTCGTGATAAGATAAATTTTCTCTACAATCCCGATAGGGCATGTAGTTATGTATATTAAAAGTTTCAATAGAAGAACATTTGAGTTTAATTTGAGCTGATGAATATCAATTCAATATACCTAGGTTTTTCATGTAAGCAAAGCAGAGATGGAGTGTAATTGTAAATAGAAACAATTCTAATGGAAGTTGTTTTATTCAGCCCAAATGTTTGTATGATTTATTTGTTCTTTCACTCGATTATTACTATTCTGATCATTTTTTCGTCACGCGAAATTTCAGAAATACTAATTTGTATAGAAACCATCGACTCCTTATCTAACATTCGTTTATGTTAATGATAATATTCATGTTTATGTCGGTTTCATTTCAATTGTTTCAACTTATTCACAGCGAATAATGCTGCTGTACTTCTCATTTGACAAGAAAAGTCGTGCAATTCGACGTCTTTACTCAGTTTTGTATGGTGACACAAGATATATAACCAATCCAGTTCATATTTTGATCAAGACAAAAAATATCTATATGAATGGTGAACAACAAAAGCAACATCAATCAATATCAAATTCTTTATCAACTGGTCCTACAACACATTCAACTCAATATTCATCTCAATCACGACGTCAATTTCATTCACGAACAGAAACCGACGTCAACTCTCTAAGTGCTTTTTTGCTTCACATCAATTCTTTTTGTGGGAATCAATTAACAGAATCGAAATCATTAAAGAGAAATCATGATTCCAAGGAACACTTATCTTCTGATACTAATGAGTAAGTTCTATTTTATAGAGCAATTAACAGCGTACGGTTTACAATCTTGTTTCATCTAGAAGTAAAAACTCTACTGGAAAACATTACTAGGTAAACTCTAATCACAGCAACAAATTATACAACGAAAAAAAAAAAAAAAAGAAATTGCTTTCGGATGATGAAAATGTAGCATTTTTTAACTACTACTGAAATAGATGATCATGGACTTGCATCTACTGATCTAACATCATATGATGCTCTTACAAATTCAAATTTCACTTCATGTCCAAAACAAAAACCAAGAAATCGAGTAAGCATGATACTAAATTGTGAATGCATAGTCAACGAAATTCTTTTTTATATGTGTTTAAAACCTGAATTTAATACTGAAAACAGCTTTCGATGTATTTAACCTCATGTTGAGTATGAAAATGCTAAAATGGTGTCACTTGAGCAAAATTTCATTACATTTTGTTTTTATACATTAAATATGCCAATAAATGAAGAAAAATTCTAAATAAAATTGATTCAGCCTTCTGGATTATAACTAGATTTAATTGATAATATTGAAAATAATTCAAAACAGAATTTTTGAACCAATCGAATAAAATGATAAATTTATTACGAATCTTTCTTCATTTGGTACCATATTCAATGCAGAAAATCAAAATAAAATAGAATTCTCCTCCACTAACACCATTTGCGTATTTTTCTACTGAATGTGAGGTTAAATACCCTAAAAGCTCTGTTTTCAGTATCAAATTCCACTTTTAATGCGCATAATAAAACAATTTCGTTGACTATTGATTTACCATCCTTTATCATTTTTATTCTATTAGCTCATAAATCCTGTTTACAATTATTTTCAACAATATCATTGAAAACTAAGACTTTTATTGGCACTTAACTTAGTAGTTAATTCAAATTCTCCACAAGCTTTATTTATTTATCTCAGTAAAGAATTTTAAGATATTGTCTCATTGTTGTATGTTTATATTCATCTTTATCAATGACTTTTTCTTTAATCTAAAATGCAGCTGATTATATAGATATGAAGCTTTGTTAGATAAAGTTCTATTTCTTTTCATTAAGTATAACAAAAAATAATAGTCATTTTAATAGTCTTTCTCAAATCTAAAAAACAAAAAGTAGAACTGCTGTATTTTTCATTTTTTCTTTTCTCCCTCCGAGAAACTGAACTATTTATTCAAGCAAGATCTTTGTTAATAAGTGATGCTCAATCAATTCCTCTCCCATTTTCTTCCTTTACTTATGAAGTTAAAATTCAAATGCCTCTTATCCATTTTTTAGCAAGACGTCAATTTTTATTTTTATTGTCACCCATCTATTCAGTTGAACACACATAACTTCTACAGCAATACTCTTTGTCAATCTGATTTTCAAAACTGTAAAAAAAACTTCGATTCAGTTCATTTTAAACAATGCGTAAATCTTTGAAATATCTTTACTTTATTCGGACATCGTTTTAATTTAATTATAAGTATGTTTTGCAATGCATACACGACCCTATTCATTTCATTTGTTATTGTTCTTTTTTTCCGGTTAGTTATGATTTTCCTGAACATATTCATCTCCTCATATACGACTCCGATTAATGTAGTTCGTCTGATTTCCTCTTTCAATCAGTTTCTCATTGTCCCCAGCGGTATTCGTTCACCAATCTGACATACAGCTTTTTCTTTTTAATTTATCATTTTTCAATTTGTTTAGTACATGTTTATGGCATGAACGTTTTGTGTTGTTTGTGGTTGATACACAGCTTCGATTTTTATTCGTCGTATGTGCAACTTGAGGTAGGTTCACAAGTATTCCTTATAAGTTTTGCTTTAAAAATATCTATTTAGCTTCATACAGCCATGAAATTCAACGGTGAATATTATTGAAAAACAAACAACTGCTTTATGGCATATCGACAATTGGCTTCAGTTTCTGACTCCGAACAGCAACAATCTAAATCAGGCTTATAACAGTGACACTCAACAGACAAAAGAGTTTCAGAATGTGATTCATTTTTTACTAATGTTTAGATTCATCATCTACAACTCGTGGCAAACTTTAATCACAAACAAACGTATGATTAGCAATAGCAACTAATACTTTTCTTTAATTTTTAATTTTAGGCACATGACAATTTCAAGTCAATCAGTGAATGATAATGCAAAGAATCTACCATTTTATAGCATATCCAAATTCTCTTCAAGTAGAATTCATTAGGTAAATAACATTCAACATATAGTTTTGTTTATATATTGTAGTTAGAACACATCAAATAAACTTACAAATATTCTTTGATAACGTCTAATCAGTCCGTAAAGATAAAGGTCGTGATAACCACAAGTTAAGTTAACCTGTAAACGACGTTTTAAACTCTTCATTATCTTCTTATATCTTTAGGCATAATGCAAGGATAAATTAGTATGATATAAGTACTCAATTCAACTGTTCGTACTTGAAGAAATTCCTTCAAATCAAGTTTACATGGAACTAAACGGTAGAAAAACAAGATAGGATAGAATCCTTTATTTTGCATTTAGATCCTAACTGTGCATCGATCATCGACTTCCTTTGTAATCCACATTAGCTGACTCAACTGATCAACGGCTTGAACAACCTCATGATGAACCCCTGGCCAATTGATACAACTGATCAACGACTTGAACAACCTCCTGATGAACCCCTGGTCAGTTGATACAACTGATCAACGGCGTGAACAACCAGTAGGAACGATTATACAAGGGTATTTTGACTTTACATACCCGCGGATAAACGAATACTTGTATATCAGTTAATTGGTTTTTCAAGTATATAAACCCCTTGAAAACGGTTTATCAGAATGCAACGGATAACATACCCCTAAAGCGTTTTTCGCTCCTATCAACGTTTTGATAAACGTTCTGTTAAAGAGTATTTCAGTTTGATCAACGTATTTTTCTTGTTGTTTTCATGGGTAGATCAATCGGTTTATCACATTCTGCTCAATGGTAACAAAGGGTATATTATTCGTTGCACTCTGATCAACCTTTAAAGGGTTGTTCATTCTGCTGATTTTTTTTTCTGTGTACTTGGCATAATGTCAAATCAATGATATCATTGTAAGCCTTTTATTTTTCTCGTCTAAATTCTTTTCCTTTCTAGATGAATACAACTTCTCTTCAATTCTAATTCATTCTTGAACAGATCACCAATGTCTGATCCCAAGAAGAAGGTAAATTGAAAATTCCCCATTTTTCTTTTGGCACGAAGTCAAAACCTTTGTATTTTAGATTGAAGGTGAAATTGATCGATTCGATGATGTTTTCCATGGCCATGGCGATGATATCGATGTCAAGGAGGATGAGAATATCGATTATGATCAATTCTTTTCGGATTTTCATAAAAATGATGATACCAATATGGAAAATATTGATTATGAACAGTTTTTTACAGAGTTTTATTCAAATGAAGATGCAAAAATGATTACAAGTGATTATGAAGAATTTTTNTTTCGGAATAATGTTCAGGAGCGAGAATACTTGAAAATAAGCTTGTCCATACAGCAAATGTTCCGCTGAGAACTCCGCCTGCTGTTGAAAGTAAGACGAACGATAGATTTGTCATACATTGTATAAACCCATCTTTATACGCTTTTAAACTCGATATTTCACTGTTTTCATTCATCAGAAGTTCACTTGCAGCCGATGGAGGAGTTGGAGGTTGTGAAGGAAAATGAATAATTGCTAGAAGTCCAGCAAGAGTAGCTAATCCAAGATGAAAATAGAGCAAATGAGGAACTTTTGAAGGATGAGAAACAATTCCTGGATTGATTAGAAAACTAATTGTTCCACCGAATATATTCGCCATGATTGCCATTGTTGTTGCTCGGGTTCGTTCGTTCGGCGAAAACCATAGACATGATAGTTGAGAAACGGGAGCCATGACGAGTGGGCCACATGCGGCATTGATTATTTGACCAGCGTGAATAAATGGTAAAGATATCGATTTAAAATGTGGACTCGATGGTGAGGTTACCAATGAGGGAATTATGCGGAGGAAAGTGGCAAGAAAGCAGGCGATCGAGATAATAAGTACAGTGTATCGGAGGCCATTTTTGCGATTTAGCAGAAGATATACGAAGGGAAGACATGGAATGAAGATAATTGGACCCCAGTTGAGAAGAAGATCAACGGTTGCCGATGGAATTCCATAATATGTTTGAGTACTTGGAGATATTGGAGAAAATGTTAACCAAAATGCACATTGATTGAATGCTAGAAACGAGAAAACACCCAGAATATAAAACCGTTGTCGATATGCAACATAAACTTTCGGATTTAACGATTGAGGGAAGACAAGTGCAGGGTCATTCATTCTAAATTTATTATAACACAAAAGTTGTTTTATTTTTCATCACACGTTTGCATTTAATACATCGGTAAAGAAAAAGATAAAGTGCATTGTATGATAAATAACGAAAAGTCACGTTTTCTTCCTAAATCAACACTAGTGATCAAAACCCTTCTAACTGGTGTGGATGAGGGGCAAGGGTGACGAAGATATATTTTCCTATTCAATATTTTCACCACCCTCAGAGACAGAAAAATATACGATCCACTCGAAATCGCACACTTATTTCTCAATGTTTGTCTGCTTTCATAATAACATTTAAAAGAACTAGCACAAGCCATTACGCGAAAATCATATTTGACACCGTTTGACTGAAGATACCATTTTACGAAAGATCTTTGCAGAAAAAGTTTTGTAAGATCCGTTCGATGAAATCTACGGAAACCTTTTTTTTCTAAAGATTATTCACCGTGAACTATCCGAAGAAGATGGTAAAAGTTTGCGATCTCTCATGCAATAGCCGATAGATAGGAATTGCTATAGAAGTAGATACAAAAAAAGTTGTTTTTCGATGGTTAACAACTCGTTTGCGTCGCATTTCCTGTCTGCACTACCGACTAGGACTTGACGTTTGTGATTTATGCTCCAAAGTACTCTTCTATTTCCGATCTATGATAGCTATTCAAATGTAGTTATTAACCTGTGAAACCAGATACGAAAAAATAAAATTGAAAAACATTCAAATTAAATTCCGCCATCGATCCACGTCTATCCATGCGTTCATCAGGCTTTCCAAGTTAAATATCAATATTGATTATGGGGATCTTTCAATGACAAACAATAAATAGGTCACAGAACTGAATAAAAACGACAAGATAATCAAATATCAACAATTCACTAGTTAAAATACATTTGAATCTAAGATAAGACTGATAAGGTGATGTGGATGAATATGAGAATAGTCATTTTTCTCCGTAATGTTCAACGATTGGTTCAGTTTGGCATTTGAATTCAAATATTTATTCAATGAGACTCACAAAGAGAAAATATTCTCGTTCTTTCGTTTGTTCTAAAGAAGATACACAACGTGAGGGTGAAATTAGAAGAAAATACTTGCCTACACATTCACCCTCATCCAGATCTAAACAACAATCCATCAAGTAGTAATCGATAAAAATACTATTTTTTTCTTACATCAGGGCCATCCTGTAATATTCGTATACAGACATACAGGTAACTAAGTATCACATAGAGATACGTTGGTAAATATCCAGGTAGATAGGTAATGGTATTTTTCAAAATAATAAGACGGCGATGTATTTTTTTTGCTGATCATCGACTGTATTTAATCATAAACACTATAATAACGCTCTTCTAGTGCAGAAGCAAGTAGATATTTGATATAATATTAAGACTTCGATTCAATAGTGATGAGAAAAGTTAACAATATTACAAAAATATATACAGTATTAGTAATCATTGTTGGCATTGCATCATTGACTTTTTTAATTGTCGGTGTTGCCACAAGAAAGTGGATTGGTATCTCCACTAGTTTATCACCATTACAGACACAAATAAGCCGTGTTTTAAGCAATAGTACTTTCATTACTTCACTTATCATTGCGACAGGAGCAAATCAAACTCAAGTAGCTCAAATAGTATCAGCAACGGCAGAACAAGTCAATCATGAATTAACATATGCTACTCCTAGTGATGTTACTTATCATCTCTATGGTAAAAATCCAAATACACCACAAACATCAATAAACTTTAAATTACCTCAAGGACTTATTTTTGCTGGAATAGCATTAATCTTTCTTGGTCTTTTATTGACATTAATTGTTATCATATTGGGTTTACCGCCTTTCGTTCGGAATTTACCATTGTTCTTTCTAGGTCTGGGACCAGTTTTGCTTACTATTGGATTCTCTTTTTATCCAAAGATAGTTATTGAAGATTTTGGTCTTGAATTACAACTTTCGATCGATATTGGTTTCAGTATTATACTAGTTATCACTGGAACAATTGTCGGTTATAATACAGCTTCTTTATTTGCTCTCATTGTTCTTCAACCACTTCAAAATCGTCCATCTACAATTCGAAACTTTAACGTTCCACCCAGATCAAGGCTTCGACCTTCATATTCAACTAGAATGAGAAACAAATGGTGATTCTATTACAAGAGAAACAAAGACTTTATGAATCGAAAAGATCAATCTGTTTTCTAAATATATGTTTGAAATCCTTTTATTAGAATAGTCTTGTGTATTACAACTGTAGCTTTGGAATCAGATAAAAACTTCACAAGAATTTGGATATAGACATAATCAGTCATACCATATTTCAATCTTTAATTGTTTAAATAATTTCACAAATATATTGAATTATGATATTGATCAACACAATCCTTCGTTTGTCTTTTTAAAACATTTACACGATACTTTTCTACGTATAATTTATTTACATGTATTATTATTCTCAGTTATTCGTTTCTTTCGATATAATGCATATTATTTATATATAATGTTTATAAAAGACGCCCTTCACCGTCTATCTGATGTATGAAATATATGCTTCTTTTTATCTTCAATAACACGTGCAAATAACATTAATCAATCCATTATTCGTGTATGTGTTTGTTTATATTGTCAGAAATAATTTATTTTGAATGTGAATGAAGAAAAGAAAGGAATATCCACGTTAATATAACAACATAGCAAAACCTCACCATTGTAAACACTAACGGGACTATTCAAAACGTGTGCACTAAAGAGAAATGGGAATACTTACATATAAAAGCATCTTACATTTACTATATACATATCATGTGGGAAGATATATGTCAGATGAATGTTTCTAACTCTTCGTACACTTATTATTGTTCTATTATCAGTTTTATTGCGATCGTTTGAAAATGTTAATTTTCGCTAGGAAACGAATCATAGGTTTCGGAGTGTTGCAGATCAGATACGCTGATGAACTACGGACTCCCTATTTAGAGGTACTAATGGAAACTTCTCATTGATGTCTGCATGAAGAATGGAGAAAACAAAAGCATGGAGGAAGTGCATACAAAAAATCTGTTTGTCGTAACAGATTTTATGTTAACAACGAGAAAATGATCGATTAGAAAAAGAAATTAGTCAACATACTAATGTTTATATTCTTTGTTCATCGAACTTTCAACCAAGAGAAGAAAAATATTCACAATGGAATCTTTTTATAGAATCACACTCATATATGAAAAGCACGAAAACATCTTTTGAAAATCAATTCGAAATAATCGTATATAATTATTTCGAACAGTAGACCTTAACCTTCTCATATTGAAGTACGTTAATGAGAACTTTTTAGTTCTTTCTTACATATAGATTGGTGGATACTTTTTTTTGTTTCTCGTTCTCATTCATCCGAGTAATAGTTATAAAACTACCGTTAAGTGCACCATGCTGGTTGCTATTGTCGATGCTTTCGATCATATTTTTCAATTGTCGCTGCATATTTCGTACGTTCTCTATTGGTTAACAAGCCGTTAAACTCATCTCCTTTATCGGTATTAAATTAAGCTTAAGTAATTGTGTTACATCGATGGTTACTGATTGAGCTAAACTAAACTGATCATTTGTAACGAATCGATGTGCGAGCCGAATCAGAAGTGTATTTTCACTTTTGATGTAAATAGTATATGCAATTAAGTCAATATTGTCAGGTAGTTGTGTTCTCAGATAGGTATCCCGTGTGCAATGTAGTCATTTGCAGTATTTTCGATTGGAGCCAATTCCACAAGAGATGATACATAGACCTGATTTTGAAATGAATGTATAGCATCGGGTTGTGAATGATTAGAATTCAACAATATAAAATATTGTTCAGTTATGACTCGCCTTTGTCCATTAGCTTCTGTTTGGTCGAGTGGCATTAGATTTTTGAGTATTCGTCGATGGATCCATCTGTAATACTACTGACACCTTGTAGTTGATCTGTTAACATTGCGAATCGCTGTTATCATCGGACAGTACTTACCACTAGCAACTTCTGTTACTCTAATAATTCCATGTGGGGCGATAATCTCTTTACCTAAACCATCTACGATTGTTATTAGACCAACCGTCTAACCAAACTCTATAATGGTCGGTGAACCTCATCCGAGGCGCATACAACTACTGATCCGTTCAGTAAGTTTTGTTTCACGGTAAATGAGTAACAGTGAAAAGTAGTTGTGTACTCGTGTTTTTAATTGATGCTGAGTAAAACGGAACTGTCATCGTTAATCGGTTACTAAGTCGATATGTGTCATAATCAATCGGTGTGTGAATGGTGTTAGACGCTTGCGCTGCACCTCGTGCTATGGATATTTGATTGGGGTAGCTGCATAGTTCAATTTATAATATGAATGCTAAATTCATAATACACTCCAATTCTTATCTAGATACAGATGCGAATAGATTTAGATATATTTATACTCACACCCTCACACACGCTTTAACTATGATTCACACTGTCACCCTGAAACATATTTTTCCAGATAGATAAAAGTATACCACAGTGTCTTTTTATTATTTCGCTTTGATTGTGAAATGACGTGTTTGCAAAAGATAAGTGTAAAGATTTATAAATGCGCATATTCTCACTTACGTATATTTCATGACAATAGGATTTTTATTCGATACTGCATCAACGAAGATCCCAAAACTTCGAATTCACTTTTCTACTGATTTCTAGTACGGATAATGAGTCAATATTTCTTAGTCATTTCGTTAATAACATTTTATTTAACGATGAACGTTTATGTTGCTGGAGAAAATTGGTTGGGCAATTACAAATGGACTTCAAAATGTTCTCAAAAAGAGTGCTGCTGTTTTGTTAATGATCTAACAATTACTCAAGTCAAAGATGATCCTAAGAAATTGTCGATTGTCACCAGTCGCTCTGGTCCCATCTGCCCAGCAAAAACTTATGAAAATGTTATCGATGTTCCAGAAGGTTCTTTTATGGATCAGATAAAACCAAGAACATTGATTTGG